TGAAAAATCTCCTGGAACAGGTCAATTTTCAATTCCAGTTTGCCACATTTTTAAGAACAAAATAAATATACAGGATGATCCATCTTTGAGTTATGACGTCCGCGAAAATTTTTTACAAATGGAACACCCTATATATTATTCTAAGGACTTTGTTTTGTAGCTCAGGCGATGTGTCAATTTCAGTTAATATCAGTAGGTAATCCTATATTTTCATCAATATATCAAGCTATTAATGGCAACCGGAAGCAGGCAAGCAATATTTTTAGAAAATGATTATCTTCTATTGAAATTTGTCAGTTTCAGTTGAAAAATGTGAAGCCATGACGATGAGATTATTTCTAGGCCACCATCAGAAATCCTGGAAAAAGCAAAAATGGCAAGTCTTGTGAAAGACTGCACAGTGACTATGAATAACCATCATAACAAGTATATATGTTTATCGAATTTGTTTTTTGTTATTAATGTAATTGTCAAGATATGGAAAACGGCTTCATTGTAGTTCAAATTGAGGAAAATGGTTCGTTATGCAATTTACCCATAAACAAATACAAGAATTATAATTTGTACATTTTCTTGCAGGTAGCTCAAAGTGAAGTTAGACGTATTCGATATTTGAGGCAGTATAATGTAGTCGGAGAAAAAATATAGTACATTTCCCGAATTTTAAAGCAATAATGCACTTGTGGAGTTACCCCACAGTTTAGATAATATACAAGTATTCCATAAACTGCGATTGAATTCTCTACACTTCATGCGTAATATGCGTTTTACAACTCTTGTTATGCAATGTAATATCATCATCGTGTAACGAAAGTACTTGCGTTACGTTACGTTATCGAATCTATAAATCAGGGGTAATAAAGAATTGCAGATATCGCGTGTTGCCAGTGACGTCATGTCCGCCCGAGAGAATCCGGAGAGCCTCCGATGGAAACGGTGCTGCTAGCCTCTGCCGGCTGGCTCAAACGGCGGTCAGCCGGCGGCCGGCGCGCCGCGTCGTAATCCTGCGGCGGTGCAACTGCAGCGCGAACCGCGACAGCCGCGGAGGAGGCGCCACGGCAGCGACGCAGGTCCGGCGATCGTTAGGAGAAGCGTCTCGCGGCAGCCGGCGCCGCACAGGGGCGGACCGGGCAATGAACTGTATGTAAACAACTGGAAGGGACCCACTGTGAACAACCAGTGAGGCAAAAATATTTTTCAGGCAACCCGCAGTGTTTACGGATACCTATCTCTCTCTATCTTGTGTTGGCTAATGGGAAGCGCTCGCATAATTTGAAATATTTTCTCGTTTTTTGCTTCTATTTAAGAGTAAAGGCGATTAAATAAAAATATTCATTTAGGAAAAAGGATAATGTTGTAATCTATTATCATTAAAAAATTATTACTGATTTTTTTATTGACTTTAAAATGAAATTTCAATATTACTCTCACAGGATCAGGAAGTCAAATGAATACAAAATTGAAATTATATATTTTTATTCAAATGTCACAATATATTGTACAGGGTGAGCGAAGCACAATGTCTCAGAACTATCAGAAGGAAAAGAAAAACGATAGGAAAAAATTGAAAAGAGGTTCCTGAATGGTATTGATGAGTGCATTTTGAGCAAAATTTCCATAGGTTCCTATTCCTCCATTAGGTCACTCATTGTCATTACTATACCCACTGTTGGAAATTGATTGAACTACTTATTCTTTCATGTTTGAAATTTTTAGGTATCTCCTTTTTACTTTTTGTCTCAGTGTGTTCACTTTTCTCCTCAATACAATATCCTTCTCTAATGAAACAGTTTGAGTTTCTTTATTGATCAACTTCGAAACTTGGGAGCTGGAAGTGGTAGGCAAGTAGAAGTCAATAACATGGAAAACTTCTTCCTTTGGACCCAAGTTATGAACGTCCACAGATGCATCCTGAAAACAAATTATAGCTAGTTTTTTTTTTATTTTAAATAGGTGCAAACATACTTTTTTTCATTATTAATCAACTAGGTACCTATGAGTTTTCTTATTTTCCTGGGGGAATCAGCATTTTTTGGTAACAAATGCTGAGGAAATAAAAATATACTGGGTACAGCATCTGCTTTCAAAAACCTAGCAGTACCTGGTATGCCTGAATAATCTGTTGGCAGGAAATGCTCCCCACAAAGCTTGCTGCTTTTATATGGAGTCCAATTCTCTCTACGAACTGCCTTTATCCATAATTCGAGAATGTCTAGTCTTTTGAATGGAAAACTGCAACAAATATAATATTACTCAATATCAATATGGAAGTATTTAACTTTGACAAATAATATAGGTATAGTTTTTGAACATATTCTGAGACTGGACATTGTAAACCTAACTGATGATCATTTCATGAACTATATTTTTTAAAAATCTGAGAACAATATTCAACTTACCCATGGAATGCTAATTTCCTTTTGTTTTGTTCATTCTTGCATCTAATCCAAAGGCGACACAATAAATCACCATTGTTTATCAATACTAATCACAAACCTTCTCAACAATCAGTTCAGTCACAGTCAGTGTTCACAACAACAAATTCAGTCCTTTTGTTACAACAAAACACGCCGAATGAATAGATATTTCACCTCGTATTTCACATGAACTAAGACAATGAACTTATGTCTTCACTTTCTTGCCTGTGTAGATGACAGAAAAAATTCTTTACTACTTTAATTATTAGATAAAAGAAAATTTATACACCAATCCACCATTAAACAACACGAGTTGGAAGAGGACAGGTATCCGTAAATCATGCTATCTTTGTTGCAGCTGCCCCTGACACACTTTGTGCTATTCGAGAGAACGATCGTTTCCCTTCCAGTTGTATTGAGTTCATTGGGACCGGGCCGCATATACAGGGTGATCAGTTAGGGGCAGCGAGCAGCCATATCTCATAAGATATTGGTCGTATAGATTTGAGAAAAAAAAATCATGATAAAAGTTGCCAAGAGAAATTGCTGGAAATCTTTTTCGAGTTTGTCAAACGTCCGGTAGAGGGCGTAAAAACCAACACAAAGTAGAAAAATGGTATTTTTATGGAATTTTGTCCCATGAAAGTATATCGATGATATCATTTTTATATTTACTGACCATTGCCCTACATTTTTAGTCCAAAACGTTTTGTTCTATCTACCAAAATAAAGCGGTGGGGGAAGTTCAATTGTTTTTTTAAACAAACAAAAATTTCTCCCGTTTATTTCGACCGATTTTAGCAAACTTAGGCTCATATGAAAGAGCAAACTCTTTAAATGTCAATATTTATAATATTCTCCACAGCTCCGTCAAAATGTTGGTATTCAAAAAATTCAAATCTGTCATCAAACAGTTCCTTTTAAGCCATTGTTTTTATAATATTGATACCTATATGGAGTCAGCAAGTTCACTGAAGCTTTAACCTGTCATTTATCAATCCCTTCAACAGGACATTGTTATTTTTATGTTTTGTTCTTATTTATTTTTATTTTATTTTTTGTTTTATATATTTCATTCAGATCATTTGATGTTCCATCTTCCAAATACTTATAATGTATTTTTAATCATGTATTCTTGTATTTTAATTCATCTATTTCTACACTTTAGTGATCGAGGGTGAAGATTATCTTTATTTTTAAGCACTATGGCTATTGTAATTATGACTTGCCGTACATGTAGTTTACATAACATGGTCAATTAAACTACTCTACTCTACTCTACTCATAATTTGCCCTACAAAACGCTCATTTGGATTTGAATTTTTGTCTCTTGCTGTCGCCGTTAGATGGCGTTAACTGAAATATAAGCAAATTTTAGAGTTTTTTTCAAAAAAAAACAAATGTAATGGTATATTAACTTTTATATGTTTTGAAAGAGGATAAATTTCTCTATAATTTGATGAAAATAATTTATCATCTACCTTTTTTGAACCGTTGATATTGACCAAAATATAATTTTATTACATTAAAAAATGGCACGCCACTGTTTTTTATCAAAATTAAAATCAGTTTTGTAATCTCTTATTAGTTGCTAACAAGAAGAACCTCCTGACTTTTTTCTTTAAACAAACGGTTTTGGATTGAAAAAATTAAATAGGTTTACATACTGGTTCAAAATTATATTTGGAAAGAGATGTTCTGCAGGTCTCCAAAGTAACCACGAAAGGGTGCGAAGCCTCAACTCGACGGGTTAATCTGGTGGGGACTGCCAAGGGAGGAACAATCGTTGATATTTCAGAAGAGCATCGTCCATGAAAATATCTATAAAATAGAGCCAGATCGCCAACTTTTCTACGGTGTTCCAGAGAAGTGAGTGAGTTTGTGAGCAAGACATCACCCACGAGACGAACTGCCCTTTTTTGGACAGAATCCAACAGTTTCAGGGTATGTTTGGGTGCTGTACTCCAAATATGGGAACAGTATTCCAGGACAGGTCGAATCTGTGCCTTATAGATCAGAAACAGCTGACTGGAAGAGAAATAGCTCCTGGCAGGAAACAGGAAACCAAGTTTTTGGGATGCACTTTTAGCGATTGATCTCACGTGATTTTCCCATGAAAGGTTATTGCTGATAGCAATACCAAGCATCGACATGGATGTCTTCAAAGGTATGGTTACTCCTGACAAGCTCATGTTGGGCACAGTGAGCTCGGCTTTTCTAGAGAAAAGGCATGCTTGTGTTTTGTTTGCATTGAAATCTACCAAGTTATTGGATCCCCATTCGAGAATTGTTGCCAAATCCATATTCATGTTGCCTGGCTGGTATTGGAGCCCTGGAAAAGAAGGCAATATGGAGGGTACTATCATCCGCGAAGCTGTGTACAGAATTAGTAATCAAGAACCAAGTAACACGAATGAAATCTCCTCGGCACGGTCCTGGCTTTGTAGCAGGGCGCGCCACCGCAGGAGCATCCGAACACATGGCATTTTATCGGGCAGCACAACAACACGAGCTCCACCAGCGTCAGGCCAGCTCCTGAGCAGAAATCGGAATATAAATAAACACCCGTCTAGAGCTAGTGCTAGTGAATCCCGAGCGCGGTTATTAATAGTGGTTCGATCGCGACCCGCAGTGGAGGGTTTCAGTGCCGCAGTGGTGTGTTTCCTGCAAGAACACCGGACATGTACACCAGTAAAGTTACACGCGCCACAACCAGCAGGAACTGATTCGGACGGACTGACGTTTGGTCTGGCTGGGTTTCCTCGAGCTGATCGCAGAGAGTACTGAGGTTCCGAGGTGATTGGTGCGGTACCACCGCCGCCATTTTGGAAAATGGCGGTAGTACCGAACGTCAGAGCAGGTTTTTAGATTGTGATTCACTGTGAACTGTTCGTTGTATCAGGTAAACCTTACAGGCACCGTTGGAGATAATTGGTATTTGAGATAAGTTAACATCACCATCTTCAGTTGATTATTTTAGATTGAAGATGTGAGTTTCTTTTTTTTTTCACTGTCGTTATGAATTACCCAATTGAGTAGAAATTTTGATATAGTAATCAGTAGCATTATCCATAAAAAATTCCAACCGTTGAATCCATCAAATATCATTGGAAAATAGTTCCTGGGAATTTCAGGGTCCTATTACTTTGGAATTTCACATAATTGAGGTAGAGCTACCAGTAGTAAAAAAATAATATATTTGAATGGATACACAATATTCAAACAGCACGCTTCTTCGTGGATAATGATATTCTCCGTAAAATTTGTCTAAGAACGTTGAGATTCGATGGATACTAGAGTAGTGTGTAGATAGTAGGGGTAGGACAGGATTAGTTGAAGATAATACCCGTATGGATTTTCGCCCTATTATTTCAACCAATTTCTTGGCAAATAATGGACACTGGATGCATGGATCCCTACATATTACGTCTCAAGTGGTACCAACTCTCGTCCATCACCTCGGACACACAGTATATCACCAGGACAACTTATATAGTTCCTACCAAACTCAGTTAGCTTCGAATCAGTTCATTTGCTTCCCTATATCGATATAAACAACTCAAAACTGAATGTTTGGATGATATAAATTATCTGAAAGTGTTACCCCGAATTAACATTGAGGAACACAATCGATACGCTTTATCGAAATATCTTGTTAATATGAGGTTGAAAATTATTTCATTGCTTCCTAATGACGACTGATACCTTTCCTGTTTCTGGGACTGACCATTATTGTATCATTGAAGGATAGCATACTTCATACTTTGATTTCCTGGTAAAATGCAACATCTAGAGTCATCAAGTACAAGAGTTCATGAAGGACTGGTTCCAAAACAGCATGATGCTAAGTTGCTCTGAGGTCTGAGGGACTACATAATTTATAAGAGTAATCTTCAGTCAATCTGATGAATATTCAAAACAACTTATTGCTTTTCATGCATTTATGATCCTTTGTCAAATATTCCAGAGTCATTTCGATAGACATTACCAAAAGTTTTCACCATGCTAACAGAAAAAAACACATCAAATACTTCCATCCATTCCATACAAGAGATGATGAATGTTCCATGACTTCGCAGAAAACCTCGAAGTTGAAATTTTTTTCTCGATTATGTTGTATAATAGCGGAATATTTTATAATCCATATTCTGTTTTGAGTAGTTTATCATATCTTGTAATCGAAACGTCAACGATTCACGATTGGTGATTTAGTAGAATTTGTTTGATTATCTCAAGTCATCCTGTTTCTCAACTATAAGGCATTGATTTTTTTCATCTATATATGGTAAAATAGACGTCAGGTCGAAACAATGTTGGATTATTCTTCCAAAGATCATCCTACTATGATTTTCTGGAAAGACATACACAGATGAAGGATGATGACGAGCTACCCTAATATCTGTATTGAGTCATGGAAAAATGAGCTGTTTGACACGAGGACAACAACTAGCATTGCTATGGATGGTCGCATGGACTCAGATCATCTCGCTATGACGGTATGAGGGCCCACCCTACCTACCTTCCTTCGCAAACATTGTGATCAGAGCGTTGTTGACCCATTCTAGAAATTTCATCATCCGGGGCACATGTTCTCATCTAAAACCATGTAATAAAATATATTCCCAACCTACAGTCCTACAGATAAAGTACATAGTGCGACCGGCATAGATAAATTTAATTGGATTTCTAATACAAACAAGTGAATTTTAGCCTGTAATAGGCCAGCGTAGCCTCGTGGTTAAAGCGTCAATGTTCTATCCACGTTGGGTTGCCAGTAGGTGGGTTCGATTCCAACCATGACCGCAGAAATATTTCTGATGGCCTAAGAAAGTGTTTGGGATCACACGTCTAGACCCCCTTCATTCCTTGCTCGCATAAGTCTCTTGAAGACTTCTGAGGGTTGCTCGTAAGGGGGCAACCAAATGATGGATGAGGACTATTTTAAGAACAATTTAATGATGTTAATCTCAATGATGTGTCACCAGAGATTCACGTTGATGATGAAAGTAAAACTTTCAGAAAGCTTGGAATAACTGGGAAGTTTATTTTTACATTGCTGCTATTTCTAATATACTCTGGTTTCATTTCTACTGGTCAACAACGACTTCCCTTCATACAAGAGGTCCTTCAGCATGTGTGATCTGTGCAAGCTTTGTTAATTAATAATTAGAACGCAACAGAAAATCGTGTCAAGGCTATGGAAATTAGAAGTCATAACTCGTTTAATAAATAAAAAGGCATGTCACATTTCCGAGAATCTCAAGAAAATCTTTCGTTTTTTGTTCTGGTTCCCACGAAAAGGACATCCTGTAATGTTCAGAGAACATCGTGAGAACCAAGGAAAATGAGGTAAGAATTGGTGTTCTTCTTGAATTTCTGGAGGTTATATGCCTCGGGGAATACCTCCCTTGGTAATGTGTTCCATAGCCTCGCTGTTCGTTGGATAAATGAGTCTTTGGAAAGAGATGTTCTGCAGGTATCCAAAGTGACCACGAGGCAGTGCGATGCCTCAACTCGACGGGTTAATCTCGCGGGGACTGCCAAGGGAGGAACAATTGTTGATATTTCAGAAGAGCATCGTCCATGAAAATATCTATAAAATAGGGCCAGATCGTTCGTGAAGTTTTTACTATTACTATGAATTTTCATCATGTTTTCAACAGCCAAGTCGATAAAAAAATCAATGCCTTATAACTCGAGACCGAGGGGGAAACAATTCTTTGAATAGGTGTACACCATGGAATTTTAAGTACATTAAGTATCATTTTCAATACATTAGGTACAATGTAATGAGCTTTCAAGTCTCGTTTCAAGTACTTCAGTATTTAAGTACCTATTAACAGTACCTTAGGTACCAGTTTTAAGTACTTTTTAATTACCAGATGGTGTACACATTTTGGGTAGTTGTTTCCCCTTCGCTCGAGACTTCACCACTTCGCTAATCACCATTCGTGAACCACCGAACCAATTCTTTGCCAGTGATGACCGGTTGACGTAGAGTGCCCTGACGCAGACACCAACCACAACCATCTATCAGCAGCGGTGCGCGAGGGTGACCACTCGTGCGGCGGGGGCCTGTACGGCCGCAGTGTCGTCCTGTAGTGATGGGACTCCCGCGCAGGCGCCGCTCGCAGGCCACCTCCAGTCCCACCACCGCCGACAGCCGGACACGGTGACGCAACCCTGAGGAATGTTCATCCCCGACACGCTGCGCAGCTGCATGGTGGAACCCGATGTGTCCTCGTACCTACAGACGCCGTCCACGGGACAGGTGCCTACACGCTGCTATCCTACCCTCCCCCCCCACAACGTCACGCGTGATATGTAATTAACATGATTAACATGAGTGTTATTATTTTTCTGTATAATGTTCACTGTTCACTGTTCGGTGTTCGGTGTTCGGTTTGGTGTCCGCCCTGAGGCCTGGTCGCCTGAGAGCATGGTTCCATGAAATACCCCATTCGCAGGACATGATATTATCCGTGTGTCAAGTCATTCGTTCGACCACAGTGGTGATACCAGGATGGTCAATGGTTGACTTGACTCCCATCAAAAGTTAACGTGGTAACTTTGTGGGCAGGTTTGAAACGTGACCGATATTCCCAAACAGCTGGTTGGTCAGACTGATGGTCAGACTTCACACTGAACGTGTGTGCCCGGTCAAACCACAGACTTGACACAGCCTGTTATGAAAACTAGCGGTCAGCGATATGGATTCCACTTTGCTTTTAGATAGTGACCGTGTATGAATATGTTTTTTCCCAAAGTGAGCTACGTGCGAGCCTATGCTACATCACTTCCAGTCGAGCTGAACAGGGAATCTATAAAAAATATGGACTAATATATGGGTCGACGGATGTTTCAAGGGACGATCTATAGGATCCTCAGCATGAAAACGTAAAATCTCGTAAGTGATGTCCTTGGAAATTGTCAAGAGCAGCAGCATTTCAGTGTGGCAGTGTTCACGCTAAGGTGTAGGCGACTCTCTGCTTACATCTGCAGCATGCAGCTGCCTCTATCGGCCAATTCTGGGCGTGGCTTGTGGATGTGTATGTGGGCGGTGAGTGCCGTGTCCGAATCGACAGATTACCTGAGGAGAGTTTTTACTTTATTTTTCCTCGTACAAACGTTTATTTCCAGCACGCTAATGTTTGTATTCACCTTTGACCCTACTGGTCCACCTCGGGGATTGACGGAATTGACAGAAACTTCTCAATCACCACGACTATTGTATTGTTTATTGGATGGTGGCTGGAACCAGAAGATCTATTGTTATATTCGATGAGGTTGTTCCCGGTACTATAGCAGTTTCTCTAGTCCTCTATCACTCAGAAATTTCAGGATATCAGGTGGTTCTAGATTGGTTAGCTCCTCCTTCCCCTCCTCCTCCTCCTCTATCATGTGTGCTTCAAAGTTCCTTGCCGTTGGATTCGGTAGGGTAGTACATTCCGTAAGTATGTGGATATACGGTTCCTCCTCCTCCCCACAGAAATATTTCTATATATGGTATAATAATATATGGTATTGTAAGGAGAGCTAGAGAATTCGTTATGGTGTAATGGAAATGAATACATTGGAGCTCTGAAGCAATCCTTCGGTGGTGGGTAGTGTATATGAGGTTCCTGATAATCCTAATCCATCAGTGGAATATTGACTGAGCCAGTGGCATTTATATTCACTAAATGTGTGAGGATTCATGTAGGACCACTGCCGAAATACAAATTCGAACAATACTGTAAGGACAACGAAAGATCGGGAGGATAATCTTTCTGAAAAGAAAATGTTTGTTTTGTCAGTTGTATCAACAGCGGTGGAATCCTCCACCTTCATTTATGGTTTTCAAATGTTTTGTGACTCAATCTTGTGGAGCAGGCCAGGTAGCCGTTGAATTGCCGGTCGTGGGTTCGAATCCAACAACTGCAGACATTTTACTGATGGCCTAAGAAAGTGTTTGGGACCTCATGTTGAGAGGTAAGGCCCCCGTCATTCCTTGCTCGCACAAGCCTCTTGAAGACTTCTGAGGGTTGCTCGTAAGGGGGCAACCGGATGACCGATAAGAACAATTTTAGAACAATAAAGGTTTTCAGAGTTGAAGCAGAAATCATACAGAGAATAAAGATTTCTTAGTCAATCTGGTGGCAAAACCAATGATTCCTCTATTGAGGTCAAAGTTTCCGCAAGCTCTCGACGTACAACCATGTAATGGAAGACGACTTATTCTGCAGATCACGCTCACACCGTTGACACAATTACAGTTTCAAGTGTTCAAACTCCTACACGAGTAGAGATTTTAAGAGTTGAATAAATTCAGGAGCTGATTAGGAACGAAGTTAACATCCCTTCAAGGCAGTATCATTATTTCAATGCGAGTAATTCTAGAAAACGTAGTGACCATCATAGTTGAAACGAATCTTCCTTGTGACTAAATCACCACAACATCGTTACTCTCATTTGGTAATGAATCCGTTCCAATAGTCACAATAAATATATAGCTTCAAAAAAGTTTTTGCCATGTCATAAAGTCCATTTGCTCTGGTGACAAATCAGTTAGATATACTAACAAGTAAGGAAGAGTTACTTTCCGGCCGAGAGAATTGAATTCATCTGGACTTCATAGAAAGTATATATATTTTATCTACAACTATGGAGTCATTCATATCATAACTCGATTTCCAACATTTAATGACAGACATTATTGTGATGAATCGAGTAATAAGAGTAATAATGACAGTAGGATGGCGTAATAATCTGACATTCCATCGTCTTGTCAAATTCAACTAGGTAGGTATTCGTTCTACTAGTTCTACTAAAGCACATCATTATACTACTGTTTGTGAAATACACGCAAATTCAAAAGACTCACCTTACATGGTTCTTATAGGTTTAATCACCTCAAATCTACAAAATAATAAAAGTGCCTTATTGGTTACCAATTGGCCACCGACCGAAGTCCATCGTCCTTCAGCCTGCCAATTCTACAAATACACAGAAAAATGAGAATTCCATGTTTTTCATTCTCAACAGTGACAACCATCATGAGTAACCATAACCATGAAATAGGACTCGACAACTTCACAGTTGCGGTTTGGCTCACACTTATGTACGGGCTATTCGAATAGATTAGTACAGACCAATCAAAACCATGGAACTTCATTGTTGATAACTAGCGTCTAGAGACAGGGTACTCCAATTAATCATCGCGGTGGGGAAATGCTACAGCGGAAAACTGCAATAGTGTGATTTATTTTACAACTGAAAAGTTAAATGGCATATAATACCTGGTAAGATTGACTGATATCTAATTGTAAGACTTTCTTCCTGTTAATAAAAGTTAGATCCAACATTGTTCATCATATTTTCACAATCAAAATTATTGAAATAGGTTATAAGCTGTTCGTTGATTGAAATTTCTGTCAATGAGTTTTCGATGGAATTAATGAGTATTTCAAATCAGATTTAGTGATTTTTCAATATAATATCATTCATTATTTCCAAAGATATATTTCTGTACTGTCAGAGTTGCTTTGACATTTGAATAGTTGTAGATGAAGTATTCGTAAAAAGTAAAGTACTCGCACATAATGACTATTACCCACTCAGATGATTATAGCACTGGGCTTCGGCTCGTACTGCAACTTTCATCTTCGTGGGTAATAGCCATCATTATGCGATCGTTGAATAATATACTATTGCCTGAACTGGTGGTATAATAATTGTAACTGTGTATGTTTCTTCATTGGTAACATTATGCCATCATGATCTATGGATATTTCAGTTCTGAAAAATATATATTGAAGTGGTGAGTGTTCAATTGTATATAATTTGCGGATGAAGGGTGGTAATTTTATGGAACCAGTCCCTGGTAACCAGGTCGGGTGGTCCTATCATAGTCTCGGGTCTCGGACGAGACAGACACCCCTGCAGTCCATTGGCTGTGCCTGACCGCGGCTTTCGATGTTATTGACTTGTTTATTCATAGTCCAGTCAGCAGTGAGATAACCCTGATTTGACTGGCGTGATGAAAAACTTCAAAAGTGTAGAAAACTATCGCGGTGCGTTGACTTTCAGAAGATTATGGTAAATTTGTTACTCCACGCCTTCCCGATGTCTCTATTGACTGGACTATAATTGGTGTTTTCAGAGCCGGAACTTGGACTTACGTTACAGAACTTATACAGAGCGGAAGCTCACGTGCCATATACAGGGTGATGCACATATTTCAATGTTCTATCAATTCCCTAATTATTGGTAGACATAATATAATATAGTTCGAGCAAATCTAAGCAGGATTACAAGAGTAGTAGTAATAGTAGTATCAGTACGATATTTTATGAAGCTATTGGCCAATGAAATTTGGAAATATAATAATTGAATCACAATATTCCAAGTACATAATAATATGTCATCCTATTCTAGTGATACTTTGTGAACAGATAAACTATCAACCACAGAATCTTTTTAAATTCTCTGATTTTTTCGAATTATTCTCACACGCCTTCTCAAAATTCTGCATTCATTCGATTACTCGAAGTATTGAGAAAGAAGCTTAGAGATCACGATTTTGCGGTTTCAAAATATAATCTTCATCTTCCAGAATTCATTATTCGTACTCGTATTTCATGAAGTGAAGTAGAAGTGATACATCAAAATACTTAGGAGTTACCTATCGTGTTATAATTTTCCTGCAACATGATGATCTGATGATCTCGTTTGAAATAGCACCCTGTATATGTATCTCGACATGGGCGCCACGTTTCGGCTCTGCGTATTACTGATTGATGTTACTGTTGGTTGAATGGATTTTCTTGCTGTCTAATTTTCTTGCACCGTCGTACTTCTGTTTGTTATCATAACCTCTGTATGCTATCTACTCAGATGCTATTTTCTCCAACTCAACATTTACCTATAGGTAGTTATTTTCCGTGATTCGGGAAACATTAAATACGTATTCGCATCTCGTCCTAATCGTCTGAGCCAATATTTTCCCAAAAATGTACCACACGTTAGGTATACTAATTTTTTTGATATTATATATTCTGTGATTGAACATTATCATCATTATCACCTGCATAAATGTAATTATTATTCAAGGGTCCCCTGGTGAAGCTAATATTCCTTCCAAACATAATAATTATGTAGTATGTTCATCTCCAGTGGAAATCATCACATTGAATACCTTGCTGCATGACATGACTATGGCATTTCACTTAGTTATTGTTTTCTTTGTTTTTTTTTTCTCAATACCAGACTGAGATAATTAATGCTGCCATCATCATAGTTATCACACAACCCCATACATTTTCCAGTTTATGTCCAGTTTCTTCAAAAAAATTAGTTGAAAGTCACTCTCTATGTTAAGGACCATATATAGGGAACTATTAGCACTACATTTTGAAAATATATTCATTTCGTTTCTAAATGTAGCGCTAATAGGTCCCTATCCATCCTAACCAAAAACCTTTGAACAATCAAATTATTCATAGCCACAATATTTCGTGTCGAGTACATATATTTTAATCATGAGCTGATAGAGTTTTTGATAATTTTATTATCAATCGAATCCATCCTTATTCCGAGACATCGGTAATTTTCAAAGAAGAAAATATATTCGTGTTGAATTAGAGAAGATACTTGAAACTCATAACTTTCAATAGTTTCTTTATTCCGAGAATATTTGGGTGCTTGTAGCTTTTTCATCGTTCTGTATCCAGATCAATTATTCTACTTGTCCAAACTCCACACACCTACTGTAGGTAACAATTCTCATGGGTGGATGGAGATTTGTTTTCAAAATAATTCACGACTTGAAAATAAAATCATGTTTTGCCAATTCCCGAAAATATTTAGTTCCGCAAATCACTTGTTTTGACATTTTCACGTTTGTTGTGGATGTACTGAATACGAATTCAAGAAAAAATATTGAGAATTCACCACCGAAGTATTTTTCTATTATGCCCTAGATGACTTGATGAATGTGCAACAAATGTCAAAATACATTACTCTTCGCGTGCTACATCAGTTTTAAATCTGAAACATTCCTTTCCGTTCACAAATCAAGCACAAATGTATCATACTGTAAAATTACATAAATCTTGTTTTTTTCATGGAATGATCTATGGAACAATATTTCAGGCATCCAAAGGATGTTTCGTTTCATTTCTTGGACCGCGAGGAGTACGCAACTTTGTTTTATTTTGTAATGGCTGATGAGCTCTCTACAATTCTCAAATAAGCCTTTCCATCTGTTCTTTTCGCTTTGTCACTACTGCTAGCGGCTAAAAATAATCGTCGGTATTAATAGTTCCAAGTCTAATGCGGGCGTAGACACATTAGAAGATATTTCGCTGACTTCACCTTCGATGTGATAATATTATCAGTAATATTTGACTATATTTCAGTTACGACCCGTACATTCTTATCCTTCAAAAAGCGTCACCTTTGCTGTTTCATCTTCTCATATTTCTAGATTTAGGTCATAGAAGAAATAGCAGCTTCATTTCGAAAGACTGTTACAAAACAGCAGAGTCATGTCAAGCTGTTCAGACAAGCGATGATTTCAATGATTTCCAATTCACTACTTTGATTGAATTTCTGAAAGTTATGGTGACTTGAGAATTCACTTTTCTAGCTTTGCTAATCTCGAAAGTTTGATCTGCATTATCCGCGTTTCAAGAGGCATTTCTCGATACGTTCGGAGTGTTAATAGTATTCCTGGGTATATTGTTAGGTTTATTACTAGATAATTTGAATGCCATACAACACTCTCACGTAGTAGAATTGCATTCCCTTGCGTCTGTTATCTGTATGTGCGTTTCAGATGTTTTATGAATGTCAATTCTCGAATTTTTCCAAGTGGTTATTGACATCATAAACAAGAGAAATGGGACTTCCCGAGGAACATTCATACGAGACAAAATCAATTATCCGTGAACATGTCAATATGTTTTTTCAAAAACATACCCTATATTCTTCAGGAAAATTTCTGTAGATATGATGAAGAGTCATCAGTTGGTCAACCGTTTTAGAACCTGTACCTACCAATTTCATGAATATGTATCCAAAATGGAGATTTTTTTGTACGAAAGTGGGTGTAGAAGATATTTTTTTTAAACGACGCATATTTGATACTATGAAATAAGAAATAAATATTCGATCGTGATATCAGGTTACAGTGATTAGCAATTTTTTCTTCAAGTCGAATACCTTTGAAAAGACCCAAAAAGTTCAAACATTTCATAATAATGACCATTGCTTCTCTAATGCTATTTTGTGTGGATACTCGTCAATACATTGATTTCGAGAAAAAAATGTTTTGCCTTTGTTTAAATTTCGTTGTAAGAATCATCATAGTTTTTCCATATTATTTTATTCTCAAACATACCTAAAATATCTGTCACTTAGAAATGCATGCATTAAAATATTCTATACTTTCCTAATCCTCATCCAACTTACTTTTGTAAGGCCAGGAACTGAATGAATATAAGTGTTCCGCTGTATTGAAATAATACTGAAGAATTTGAAGAGATTTTTTTATTATCAGGACGAATTTCATCCCTTCATCGAGGCCCTCCTACCTTTCGTCAAGTCTTTTTCTTACACATGGTTCAACCTGCAAGCGGCTAAAAGGAAATATTACAAAAAGCACGAAAAGCGAATGTCTTTGGAGGAAGAGAGGCAGTGCAAAGAAGCCCTACAGGTAATATATAGACTTATTCTTGAAGAAAAGTAATTATCTGGCAGATATCTTGAAAAACAATTTCACGCATGTGAGGGATGTTTTGTAACAATGAAGAGAATTCTTATGCGTCTAACGAATTTTGTGAAATAATAACTTGTTTACAATTACCAAATGTCAGGTAGATTGAAAATGTCATAGTTAGTCCACATATAGATATAGAACTGGCTACAATAGTTATTCTTTATCGCTGTGGAATACTCAATTACTGTTTCAACTCAAGGGTTGTAAATATATGGCTATAATTATCATTACCTATTTGAAGGTTACTGTATCATATACCTATATGCATTTAATATTTCAAAGTCATATGATGCTGTGCCAGAAAATGCTCCGAACCAACCTTGGAATGGCTCATCATAATATGTAACATCGTGATGACAATGAAAATTTATTATTGGATTGGAAAACAGGAATCCGAAGTTAGCATCCTCTAATTTTTAGTGACCGACCAAGGAACAATCGTTCCTAATACATCCGAAAAGTTCAACTCACGTTCAAATCATCTATGGTATTGTTTGGTTAGATATCCATAAAATGTACGTACAGTATGATGAACCGTGACGATTTTCCATATCATATTGCTGAATTTGGAATGAATTGATTAGGTGCCTTTTGACTACAATAACGTTTCGATTGTTCCACAATTTTCCGGAAGATAATTATGGCGAAATGAAAAAAATCTCGGTAAATATGCTACAATCTATCAGGCGGAAGTCTTCGCAAGATGGCTTCCGAACTTGGATCTGTATTGAATCCCTAGAGTGTCTAGGGGCTAACAGACACCTAGGGCTGAGCGAGAATGACTCAGGTACTGGTATGAATTACTAGGATCAACTCATTGGAAGGTGTTTCTACCATAACTAGCAAACAATATAACCAGGCGATCCTAGAATGGAGCAGGAGTAACCAACGAATTCTGACAGCACTGCTTACTGTCGTCTCGAATACCAACTAGGGAGGATGGGTCTGAAACCAACAAACATAATGTCGTTGCTGCTGTTTCGAAGACGAAACGGCTGAACACAATATTTGATTCTTGATCTTGCTTAGAGAGACTATGGATTATATAGTGAACTGTGACCTCTATGGGTGAGCGACAATAGGTGGGGTCGAATTGGATGGTGGTATTCACCCCACTCACATGGAACCTAAGCTAGCCTAGGTGAATCAAACACTATCCACGAAGAATTAAGAACCCAGAACCCATCAGTCAAAATAAATGTTCAGTCAGCGACCAATGTAATTCCCACAATGCTCACACATTTCGCTTGCTGATTCGTTAACAGCAGACTTACTTTTTTTGTACTGAGGCTCTTAAAATAACGTGAACACCTATAGTGGTACTATATCAGAGGTTGTTCTAAGAAAGCAGACAGATCCAAGTATTGCCTGACTAGAGCTTGATGAGCTCTAGTATACTAATGTTTTTCGTCTTAGCTACATGAAGTGTGAGGTTTTTTGATCCCCATCACAACTGCCAATGTGCCCTAGTATTATCTCAAATATGTTAATTCAAGGTGAGCATAAAGATATGGCAGGCCTCTGCTTCTTACCGTATCCATTTCATGTGATGCAGATGGCCTGTCAAGTAGCCTGTTGATTAGCTAAGGTTCTATCGAAGTCTAAGATACCATCGGTCAGAGCTGAGTAGTCCAAATGAATTCATGCACCCATTGCATTGCAGTCTGTGGATAGGACACCCAAAGTTGAATAAATGATCTTCCCATTCATCAACTGGACATGTTGAAGAATGAGACTCTGGGAGTAGAGGCCTGAACATCCTACTCTACCAACTAGTTCCTTTGACACACTGATATAGATTTTGTTTTCAGAACGAAAAGGCGGAAGTTAAACAGAAATGGGCATCCCGCCTGTTGGGCAAGCTCCGCAAGGACATCACCCAGGAGTGTCGGGAAGACTTCGTGTTGAGCATAACAGGAAAACGACCCGCTGTTTGTGTCTTATCCAACCCCGACCAAAAAGGCAAGATGCGCCGAATAGACTGCCTCCGCCAGGCCGATAAGGTCTGGAGACTAGATCTCGTCATGGTGATATTATTTAAAGCAATTCCCCTAGAAAGTACCGACGGCGAACGCTTGGAGAAGAACCCGGACTGTTCTCAGCCAGGACTGTGCGTCAATCCATATCATATAAATGTGTCAGTGAGGGAACTGGATCTCTATCTAGCGAACTTCATTAATAGTCACGGTATGGTGATGAGTGTTTTATTGCCGCAAACGTATTTGTGGTCAGAGGAATATTCTGAAGTGTAACCTTCACTTGTACTATACTTTGTCATCTCATCCAACGAATTGTTCATTTGTACTAGTTGGACACACAACATTCGTTTATTGATTGTTCACACATCATTTACCCCAACTTCTTGATCCTATCCAATGAATATCCATAACACCAAATTTATGTCGACTTTTCCTTTGTTCATTCCCAATCACACAACGATCTCTAAACCTTTTATACTGTTTGTAACAGAATATTATCGAAACAAATTTAGATATTGGTAATCAGACTTCATGCATGTATACTAGGAGTATAAGTCGAAAAGGACACAATGTAAGATTTTTGAAAATGAGAATTCCTTTTATAAAAAAAAATGACGTATCACTAAGAAATGAAAAACCTAGTTGACACGAAACTTGAATATAAAATAATATCTTTGTATACCTCCGTTCGTTGTACAGGGTGATTAATTAAGAATGGAAAATCTCTGAACTACAGATAGTAAGCACTGAAATATTGGGATTTAGGCATGGTACCTAATAAGAATGTTGCTGTTTTAGCAGATACAGGGTGTTCTGGGGGGAGATTTTATTTCAAAATTTCTCTATAACTTTGGGAGTTTCAATAGGACGATGAGTTTCAGGTTTTCTGACATGAGGAATACGAATTTGCAACTTATTTTGTGATTTATTTTACTTCCGTAAATTTAATCATACTCTCTTTGTCCATTCGATGATGATCAAAATAAGTAAAAAATCTGAAAGCCCGTGCTTTTTTTTCAAATTGTCTAGTTTTAACGGTTTTCGTGTTATTCGCTCTTGAAGAGATTTATGTTAAACTTATAACGTTTCAATAATTTTATTCATCAAATTAGGAATGTGGAATCTCTGAACTACAGATAGAAGACACCAAAATATGAACATTCAACCTAACATGCTTTATTGAAATATTGCGGATACAATGTTCAGGGAAATTTTTTTTTTTTTAATTTTCCTCAACTTTGGTAAAACAGTTACTTTAAAATTCTGTTTGTTGTTGGCGTTTTCGTTTATTGGCAACATTGATTACTATCTTTTGCCACTATCACTTCGCTAACCTTAGAATTTGAAATTATTAGAATGTTATAAAGCGGAACAATTTGAAAAAGAGTTATTGAGAAATTTTAAAATAAAGTCTCTCCCTAACACACCCTTGTATATCCAAAACCAGCAACATTTTTATTAGGCATGTTTAGTGTTCAGAGATTTCCTATTCTTAATGAATCACCCTGTATATGAATTTCATGCAACGCTTCAAGGAATCCCAGTTATTTTAGGGTGATCAGTTGATTCTGAAAGTTATTGAGAAACATCCTGTATGCAAACTAAGTTGCTAGATTTATTTAATTTCCTGAATTTTCCAGAAATTCTGAGTGGAGTATGCTATAACAACAATAACAAAAAGGAGGACGATCGAAAAAGCAAAGGTAACAGTCTATTTTGAAATTTCTTGGCAAATGTTTCTGTATTTGATTATACGTAATCTCTCTGAATTACAGGGTACACTCACAATCCTTATAACGGGGTAGTATGTAATGACATCATCTTAGCCACGGGAGTATTCTCCTCTAAAGAACTCTGGAAATTATCCAAATGTAAATTTTAACGACCTTCCATACCATTCACGCTTCTAGACCCTTTTATTTTCAGCATCCATCTTACACGAGTTATCGGATACTCAACCAAATATGAACAACGTTAAGATTGAACATCCCGCTTTCTACTGCAATAGTTATGCGGATCAAGGGCCAGTTGTCGCTGATAGATCTTCTTCTGTTGAAGCCATGGTTGTTTCAGCGGCATACTGTAAGTCTCAATCATTTAACTAAACTCCTATACAGGGTGTTTCACAGGTAAAGGGAAATATTGCAATGGTAGATAGGGGTCACCAAGATGGTTCTGAAAATAACATATTTGATATGTCTTAGAGTCTTCATAACAGCGAGATACAGGGCGATTTATCGATTTCGAATGTATTGACCTACCAAGTATATTTTTATCAAATTTGGTAAGGAGCTCATACTTGGGACGTTAAATTCATTCACCTATCGGGCGGAGTGAAAATCCAGGTTCGGCTTCAGGAAAAATTCACATGTATTCGAAATATTAAAATAACACACTGTATTCAATAATTAACACAAACAACAAAAGAATTGTGAAGAGAAGGAAAAACTGAATTGGGTTTGATGCTTTTCGTTTTCCCGCCACCAATTCTCATCGTAACAATCATAAACAGAAAGTTGGAAGTATGTCAATTTGAAGAGTATTGAAATTATGAAACCAGTGTCAATTATGATTATTCGATATATTTCAGTCAAAAATTCGCTCGAAACAACTTACTAAGTCTCACACTCTTTATAACGGAGTTGCAGGGTGAATTATCGGTTTTGAATAATCATTCACTCGTCCATAAGTACATTTTCTCATATTTGGTATGTAGCTTACTTGGGACGATGGATTCATTAACCCATCAGGTGGAATGGAAATGATACCAAATAATTATAATTCGATAATTCACCCTGTATCTCTGTTATAAAGACTACGAGACTTTTCCTGAAGCTGAACCTGTATTTCCATTCTGCCTGATAGGTCGATGAATCCATCGTTCCAAGTAAGCTCAATACCAAATTTGAGAAAACATTATCGAAACCGATAATTCACCCTGTATCTCCGTCATAAAGACTGTGAGACTTGGTAGGTTCTTTCGAACCATCATTTAACAAGAATATATCAAATAATCATAATTGAAAGTGGTTTCATAATTTTAATACTCTTCAAATTGACATACTTTTAGCTTCCTGTTTATGATTGTTACGATGAGAATTGGTGGCGGGAAAACAAAAAGCATCAAATCCAGTTCAGTTTTTCCTCCTCTTCACGATTCCTTTGATGAACTCTGTCAATTATCACATACAGTGTGTTATTTTAATATTTCGAATAAATGTAAATTTTTCCTGAAGCCGAACTTGGATTTTCACTTCGCCCGATAGGTGAATGAATTCAACGTCCCAAGTATACGCTCCATACCAAATTTTAGAAATATATACTGGGTAGTTCGATACTTATAGTCGAATGAATAATTATTCGAAATCGAGAAAACGCCCTGTATCTCCGTTATGAAGACTCTAAGACCTATCAAATATGGTATTTTCAGAACCACCTTGGTGACCCCTATGTACCATTGAAATATTTCCCTTTATCTGTGAAACACCCTGTATAGAGCGGATGATATTTTGATATGGACGTCCACTCATGCCGAAGTGGTCATGGTCATGTTTTGGACATCCAGTATGGGCATCCTATCGAGCTATACTATAATGCTATCAATCTATCTCATTAGACGAATCTACAAATATGACGGTGTTTTTTGTAGGATATAAAATATTTCGCTTATATTTTTCCCAATTGGATGATTTTGCTTCAGGAATAATTATAATTTTGAGAAGGAATATTCTCAGATAAATTATGGACATACAAAAATGGATATATTTTCATATGAAGCAATACATTGAGAATAATTCGCATTCTCTATGTGATGAGAATATCTACTCTTTTTCAGTGTATTCAATAGAAAACAACTACTTTCCTGGCTATATGCCACGACGAACATTGAATTATATCTATTGAACGATGGAAACTTGTGATTTTTATAGACCTCTAATCGCCGATTCGTGATAGTCTCAATTCAGAATTTCTTTCCACGCCCTGTATGATGAATGTCAATTTATCATACACCCAAGAGCAATAATTTTAATGAAATCACAATTGATAAGATGTGGAACTGGCATAGTTTCGATCTTATTTAGGTAAACTACAGTTTTCTGATACCATGAGAAATACCCACAATTACGTGAAAATGTTATTTTTAGATATTGGAGAAATTTACTAAAATTACTAATATTTTACATCAAAGTGTATAACCTTTGGTAATTCCCTTGGAGTTCTCAATGCTACATATTGATCGGTCACTAAAACTTTACGTCATACAATATATTATGCTATTTCAAAATGACTAGGTCCATTTTCAATTTTTCACGTGACTAAAAATAGAAGCGTGAAGCGTGAAAGTTGTATACTACAGTTATGCGTTAGCTGATGTACGAAGATGTGGAGCAATATAAATATTTACAAAAAAAGGGATATTCAGATATTAGACTCCATTTTTTATTACAATCACATAACAGTGAAAGCGTTAACCTAAAATTATGGAATATTGAAAAACCGCTGTTCCAAAGTTGGTTCTGCCTCTGCCAAACATTTCCACTAAGAAATATTAGAATCAAATAAAAATGAATACTGCTTATCGGAATTATTCACCCCTGAGAATAAATTACAATATGACGCTGGTAGAGAAGGCATCATGTAAATCATATCTATATAGGGTGGCCTATCCAAAAACACGTCAGGTTTGCTTGTTGAAGGAACAACTTTTGACGCAACAACCATAACGAATACTTCTACCCCCCCTGAATGGAGGTGTCATCCCCCAAATTTTTTCAAATGGCAATGCGAGTCAAGTGATACCTCATCAAGAAGAGTTTTCAAACCGCTACACATTGCTGCTCATCAGTTTCTGATGATCAGTTCACTTGTGCAGAAAACATGGAGCTTAGAAGTATCAACGATACGTTTGACGAAATTCAACTGGTCAGTACTGTAAGTAAATCCACTGACTCTTGATGAATATTTGTGTTCCGAAATATGAAATCAAAAATGTAGTACTGTAATTTGGAACACCGCCCATGGTTTTCATCAGCAATCAGCAGCAGTTGTTCTGCTGGTGAAATCTGATTATCCATTCTCTGCGTCAATTATTGATTATTCATTATTGATAAGACAAGACTCCATATGTTTGAAAAACAACAGAAATAAATGTGAGATTCCTTTCAGCTCTAAAATAATGACAGTTCACTGAAGCCACACTACCATTTGATATTTGGAATGAATAGTAGGTATGTCTGCTCACAAGTATCTGTTCCTTTCGGTGATTTTTTTGTCATTTCGGAATGAAAAGTCGGCAGATTCAGTACTGTCAGTTCGGAATATAGCCTATATCAAAGTTTACAAAATTAATTTAATTCTGTAAACTTTGCCTACATGTACACTACACTGTACAGCGTTCTTTCATCAGGACAGAATCAACCCATTAGAGGACGCTCGATTTCAATCAATTAAAGTACTTTCCGACATTCCAGCAGTCTGGAATATTTTGCAGATTATGAGCTTCCAGTGCCTTTTTTTATTCAAAACTGTACACCACCTGAAAATGATCACTGTAGGAGGCCACGTTTCTCCTTAAATAAACAAACTCCAGCGTGCTCCAACTGAATTCATGCTGCATTACTGAAATTTTTGCAATATTTTCAATATATCTCAAATTTTTCCTCTACGAATAACCCATTTTTATAAAAAACTGCCAGATATTCCATGGCATCATTTCTGATGTGTCCACAGCCATCTAAATGTTATTGGCAACTTTTATTCAATGCTAAATAAGTGAAAAATGGCGTGAGAAAACTATATATATTTGTGAACAGGAGAAAAATATATTCCACTATTCCACTAGAGTTGAAAATATACAGGGTGTTCCATTTGAAAAAAACTGATTTGGAGTGCCAAAAGATAGTATACCTCAGATGGAACCCTACAACTTTCATATTTGAAGTTTTTTTCCACCTCGTATAGTCGAAGCTGTAGGTAGGGATCAAAATATACGGAGACACCCTGTACGTTCTATCATCAATATATGCATAGATTATCTATGGTTAGTTTTCGAGATGATTTAAATCAATGTCTGAATGCTTCGTCAAACGTATTGTTGTAATTTTACCATATATTTTCAAAACGAATGAATCTATTGTCAAAAACGAAGCAGCAATGTGTAGGGAATCAAAAGCTTTTCTCAATGAGGTATCAATTGATCCCCATTACCATCTGAAAAATAAATTGGGGGTGACCCCCCGACTTAAGCGGTCGGAAATTTTCCCATGTTTTTCAGCGAAAAAAGTAACAAAACCAAACTTGACCAGTTTCTGGATTTTGTTGAAGAGTTCCACCTTGTACACAACTTCTTTGCGAGCGTTCCTCCATAAAAAAAATGAATACTCGAACGATATTCCAAGGCGGTCTGAAATAATAGAGCTGTCAATGTTGTGTATCGTTCACATGAAAAATGATCAGAGACAGCGTCTCGACGTCGCATGAGTGAGCATATTTACGCCCCAGACACCGACGCCCAGCTATCGATTTGTAAAATCACTGACGGCAATTGTATTCGGCATTGCCAGAGCAGTTACGAACAGGAAAACAGGCCGAATCCAGTGTATAGAGGCTGTCCCATTATCAGCAATAAATTCCACGACCGAAAATAAGAAAAAGAGTTCCAAAGAATATGAATTCAAAAAATGACGAACAACCCCTCTTGAAGAGGCTCCCTGAAGATGTTTTTTATTTGTTCCGAAACGGTTAGAGATAAAATAATGCAGTTTTAATAGTAGTGACCAAGATAAGGTAACACACTATGGAAACGGGAGGTGATACGAATTGGGTTGAATGAGAAAAAAGTTGCGCATTATAAGGGTCATACCAAAGGCCTTCGAAAGTTTCCGAAATTATCGTCAGTTTTCAAGTTATTTCGAAAAAAAGTAAATTTTTGGCAAATCTATTTCATTTTTCTCTACTTCTGATGAGATTCAACATGGTGATATTGATTTCTCTATGCGACGTTTCGTACTCATCAAGTTTTTTCTCAAATTCCTGATTATGTGGTCACAGATTCTGCGAATGCTATTTTTATTCTGAATTCAACCATGTATCACACGAATTACCTTGATAACTAAACTTCGACAACACGAACAATAATAATAAAAAATAACATTCATAACAATTGTTCAAAATTATAACCCTCATGTTTTAAACAAATATATCATTATCTTACAGTTGCTTCTAAGACATTTCTAAGCTGTTCTGGAGTAACACTATTTATTGAATGCTTCGATATCAATGTCGCTTAGTTTTTCTTCGTTGTCATCAAAATTATTTGCGTGAACAAAGTGTTTTAACGTATTCCCAAAGAAAAAAAAGCAACCAGGTGATCGTGTCGGCCAAGGGACTGTAGAATAATTTTGATATCACGGTAATTCGTGATGTAAGAATTCATCAGAATGGCACAATTTGAGGCGCTACATTGAATAATTTATTGAATATTTTTCTTAATTTCCAGTATCAAATAACTACTCCATGAATTTTTGACACTGAATGATCAGAAATAAGTGGAACTTTGGAATTTCGAAAAACCATTGAAGATGGCTAAAACAAGGTAGAAACACTTTCAAACCACTTCGAGTAATACATGGTTGAATTCAGATTAAAAAATGCTATCAGAATTTGTGAACATAATCAGGACCGAATTTAAAAAAAAAGATGATGATGGTTCAACGAATACGAAACGTCGCACAGAGAAATCCATATCACCACGTTAAATCTAAATCTAACATTTTTGCTCAGATTTGGACATTTTTCTTCTGAAAAAATTAATCATAATTGAATACATTTTATGAATAAAAGAAATATCATTTTGGTCCTCCTATGGATTATTATCCATATCCTCCTATGGAGGACCAAAAAGATAACTTATCTATCAAATTTGCAATTGATCAGGGTAATTTTGGTATGATAAATTGATATTCATCATACTGGACGTGGAAAGAAATTCTGAATTGAGAAAACCTTATCACAAATCTGCGATTGAAGTGTATAAAAATAACAAGTTTCCATCGTTCAAGTTTGAACCCCTGGATTGGGTAAAAGTATTCTAAGTTATATTTTTATATCACAATACATCATATTATTCTATTCGATTTGGGAGATAATGTCAATTCTCAATTTAAGAGAATTTTGATTTTTCATGCTCCCTTTTTGGATATTCGACGTGGCAAATAGCCAGGAAAGTAGTTGTTCTCTGTTGAATATTCAGAATGATATCATGTGCATATCTTGATATGAAGGAGAATGCAAATTCTCTACTTCAGAAGATTCTGTTTCTGTTCGTCGTGGCATATAGCCATGAAAGTAATTGTTTTCTGTTGAATAAACCGAGAAAGAATTAATATTTTCATCACATGGAGAATGCGAATTCTCAATGTATTTCTTTATATATAAATATATATACTATATATATCCATTTTTTTGTGTTCATAAATATATCAGAGAATATTCCTTTTTGATCAGGGTTTCTCATGAAATCAGATACTGATACTGAATTCCGCTCATAAGACCTGAAACGTCACAGACTAACCGCGTTATGCAATCTCCTGATATTTATATTTTTCAGCTATGCCTCAAAACACAACTCTAGTGTCTTCCAGTTCCCAAGGTAGTCCCAGCACATTGTTTTACCAGCACAGTCCGGAATCACTTACCCAACATCAAAACCAAGTGAAATATACCGAGAACGGTCATGATACCCTCACTGATTTCGTTACCTTCGTCTGCCAAGAAACCGACAGCAATCAAAACGCACAGGTACTAAAAATACAAATCTATGAATCTGTTTTCAGTATCTACAGAGAAAACCATAGTTGAAAAAATCATCAATTACGGATGCTTATGACCTGAATCATACTCTTCTGAAAGAATCGATAGACGGTTTAGTGGAACCGTTAACACATTTGATCAATAACTGTTTTCATCATGGTAAATTTCCCAGTGCCTTCAAAATCACGACAATTTTACCCTTACATAACATAAGAAAGGCAATTTTGAAGAAGTCAATAATCACCGACCAATATCTATCATTTTTGTTTAAGGTTATTGAAATTCGACTGAAAGTTAGATTATTAGGTTAAGGTACACCGGGGTAAGTGGAACCGCGAATTTCAATAGCTCCGCTATAAACGGAAAAAATGATAATAATGGGTCATTCTTTTTCCAATCACGTCAGCTTACTAATGAATAATTATTTGAAGGATCTAGAAATGTACAACGAGATAAGTGCTCAAATCTTTGATCTAAATTTTTTTTATTATAGCGGTACGTAGGTTACACTTGACCCATATCCATGGGGCAAGTATAACTGAGACTGTCCTTGGAGTATTTCAGTGGTGCCTTCTTCCGTACGTAGTTACGCACAATCTCTGGAAGAAATTTATTGACTTTGCATTTGAAGATAACGAATATTTGATGCACGATTCAACAGGGGCAAGTGGAATCTAACATATGTTACACGTGGTTACACGTTGTCCTATACTTTATTTTCAAGGGACAAATGTAGCCTATGTCTTTTCCTCCATGTGAACAAATGTACGTTCTTCATACCTAATGATATTCTTTACTTTACCTGTATATACAAATAACTATTGTTGTATTTTCCTTTTTTGTGTTTTTGGTAGGCGCGGGCTGCAAAAGTTATGTATGTAACAAGTGTGTAAAGTGGTGGGTAGTTTTTTTTTACGAGTAGAAAATGTTGACGCACGATGCCGAAGGTGGAGTGCGGCAATTCCTATACACTTCACACACGTGTTACATACAATATTGTTCCTACAACTGTCAAAAAGAGGACAACCCCATTCAACTTATGATGTTAATGTTTAAATGATATTTGTCAATTATTATCAAGTACATTTACTCATTTCATGTCACTTTATTGATAACACTTAGTTCCTAAGGACGACATAACCAGAACCACCTTCGGCTAATTTGAATAAATCGCTCATTCCGCTCGCGTTCAGTGATGCTGATCAAATCATAAATGAGATGCGAGTATATTATCTAATACGCGAGGATATCGTGACGCCTTCTTCCCCTCCCATCTCTATTTCACTGGTACTCCATACAAAATACGAAGTCAGCCGCCTTGGTTTGTTCGCTTGCGGCCTTGCCGAATCCCGTAAAGGAGCCCATAGACTGCGTTGTTGGTGGGCTGTTTTGTTCGTCGAACAAGTATGTTCGAACAAAAATGCGTAGTGTGTGGCTAGGGAAAATGACCATTTTCAGCCACACACTTCGGTTTTGCGTCATTTTTATTCGAACAGATTTGTCCGTGGAACAAAACAGCCTACCAACAACGCAGTGTATGTATGGACCCTTTCAAGCAAGCATTCATTTCATCGCCTAGCAACAACCCCGAAAAGAAAGTCTTCTTTTGCCACTTTTCCGTGAAAAAATGGAACAGTATTTTGATATTGAAATATTGTACACTTTAGGTACACAAAATATATTAAAAAAGTGCAGTTTTTCTACAGTTGTAGGAACAGATAATTTTCTGCCCTTATGACCCAATATACGTACTATTTCGCTCCTAAATATATGCAAGACGCGGGGAGGGCATACCGCTACCCATGTCCGCAGCAGTGTTGCGAACGGCCAGTTGTTGAAAAACGCCAATGTGCTGTTGAAAAAAAGTTGGAAAAAACTTGATCACAACAAAATTAGCCAGGCGGAATTTTTTCGAAATCTAGCTCATTTCTAGCTTTTTTATTCTGTTTACCACTCGTCGCACTGGTCTGAACATTTTCCGCACTCAACATTTTTTGTCTCTGTTCATCACGTGTAATTTTGAATGATGCATGCATATGTATACACAGTCTTTAATTATTTCAGTCGAATGGAAAACGCTATTTCAGTGTTTAGAAGTTAGGACTCAATATTTCAGTTTTCTCAACCAGGCGTTTGTGAATTTTTCAGTGTTGAGAATGGCTTGTATATACATGATTCCAAAATAAGGATGCAAATACCTATAGATTTTCATGGACTCAAATCAATAACAAAATATTAAATATTGAATTATGTTGTCAGTTGTCATTCTTTAGTCAGTAATAGCATCACCTACTATTCTGTGGTAGAAGTGGCAGAATCATAAAAGCACATATCAGTGATTTCAAAGTATCTACTTCAAATGGTGAGTCGTAACTCTGGATTAATGTAGTTCGGTAAAATATGATTTATATAAGGCCAGAAAAAAGCAGGCCAGCTCTAGCCGTAAATAAGCCGTGTTGGCAACAACTCCGCAGTGCTCTGACTGTCACTCACTACCCATTTCAGATGCCGTCGAATCTATCCCGGAGCCCGAAACCGCAGTACTTCCCATCGACAATGCTCCCACCCCCACCACTCCCGCCAATGGCCCGCCCAGTGGCCATCATCCGATCCACCTGCGACGTGAACATGGGCGGAACAAACTCCCCGCCTGCGAGCATAACGCCGCCCTGCAGTGAGGCCTCTCCCGTCGACGAGGTGCCCGAGATCAGCCCCTCGCCTCCACTTAGCCCCGGGAGCCACGAGCTAAGGAAGTCGCCCGCGCAGAGGGGCTCCGTGCCCAGCAGTAGTCCCTACTCGCCCAACAGGGACTATTCCTTCAGTCACTTCCACGGGCAGCCGGGACATGTTGGTATTGAGTGCTTTCGTTCATAGGAAGAGTCTTTCATTCTGTTGTCAGCTTTCGGGTACCTTTCAGGATCTTAGCGATGTTTTGTAGAAAGAACAAGAACCAATCATATCATGCCACAGTGTGATTTCATCATCCTATTGATGACACAATTACCAAACAATCATATACTTCTCAAACTCCAGAACTGTTTCTGGTATGAGATCAAATTGAATATATGCGTATATACTATCTTTGGAACAAGTAGAATGTCAAATGGAAAAATACCATTTGAGTGAGATGGAAGTTTTGCTATGGCCTTTGAGAATTCGGAAACCACGATATGAGTGTATGTGATTCCATTTGAATAAACACTGCTAGGTGACTTGCTTTGAAATCCATATACCACATGATTTCTTGATGATCTCTTTATAGTACAACGATGCTAGAGTGGAATAATCTACTACATACTATCCTTTGGCAACAGTACAGTCTTCGCAAATTGCATTTCCAGAATTGAAGAAGATCTATCACTAACTGCTTCACGAGCAATGCTCTGCCATAACCATTTGCTAAATCAATTTACAGTTCACCTCCCAAAGTAGTATATTCTCTAGCTCGGGTCAAAGGGGAAAAATTGTTGGGGAATTTGTGTTACTTTTCCACTAGACACCATATGCTAATGTGGTCCATTATTGGATTCATCTATAAAAGTGTCCATCGTGTAGCTAGTACAATCACTCTTTCACGAGCTTATCTTTAGACTGATCATATGATAAACGGAAGTAATATTGGTTTTTTTTTCACTTTACCTTCGTAGAAACTCAAGTTCCGAGGCCAAGCTAATGACGCTGTTATCTAGTTTTTTGTTCATAACATCACTAAAATATTTTGAGCGACACAATTTAAATAAGAATGACGGACTCCTCCGGATAACTGAGTGTTCAATATAAAGAATCAATCTCAAAATATGCTCTTCTAACGTGTCATTCTTTTTATTTACAGCTATTCAGCTACCCCAGTATGACAGGGATGTCTGGCGTTATCAGCCCCACGAACCTCAGCATGTATTCATCCAACGTGAGTACCCCGAGAGGTATGTCAATGTGAACCCAAAGTTTTCAGATCTTGCTAAAATACCATCAAACTTCTGGCAGTATCAATATCCATAATCGGTAAACATTTTTCTAGAAGCTATATACTTATTGTATGTTGAATGTGTCTTATCCTTTGGGGTGGAGCAGTTCTGAAGATGTGATTTCCAGTTCTGTGAGATGTTAGAAGAACGTTTCATGAATGACGTTGCATATAAGCCTTGCCTCGAATTTTGGCAAAGCATGTTCCTCAGTGACATACTAGGCCTGTTTGTTTGTATTGCTCAAATTGCTGAAGATGTTTTTTTCCCATAGTTATCTCTGTTCATGGCATGATGTAAACAGGGAAAGTCATAGAAAAATCCATCAATCAATTCAGCAGGTAGAGCAAGCACAAACGAACAGGCCTTCTGAATCTGGTGTTTTCAGGTACACCACGTACCAGTAACATGCCCAGATGGAGTACACCCTTGTTCACACTGGATCAAGAGGATTTCAGCATGATCACTCATCCTTCCAATACCGAACCAGGGGCGATAATCCTGATGGACGAAACAGCTGCTCAAGCAAGCGACCATACAGGGCAGTGTTGTAACAGTGGCAACCTCATGTGCGACGCTGATCGGTTTTTTCAAGCGGGAGACACGTTAGAGGGTGCCAACCCTAGAGAAATAGATCGATTGCCCCCCCAAAAATCGCCATAGCACTGAACAACGACAAACTGCCTTACTATGTGCAGCTAAACGGTTAATTGTATCTATATTCCCATTATTCGTGTGGTTGCATTATGCTGGCGCAAAAATAACAGACTATTTTTAGTATTTACGTTGACATCGGTGCCAAGACAGGCTGTGCTGCCCACGAAAAACGTAACATTGATGTCGACACACTTCTATTGGTCGTTTTTCTCGCAGACCCTGACATTCTTCGGATCCTTGTACCCGCCTACATCTCGTAACTTGTGACGTCAAAATTGCACAATAAGGGGGTTATTGCGGCTTGTTTGAATTCCGTTCCTAAGTTGGGTAGAATATCCAGCGACGCTTGTCTTCCACGAATAAGCTTGTTGCGTGAGCAAGCAGTGAGCTGGGTCTGTGCCTTAGTATTACAATAATATCTATAGGGTAGAATAGTTAGAGGAAATAATCGAGCTTTCTCCGCTCACATTGCAATCAATTCACTATATATTTGTCCATTTCGACAACTGACCTGCGAAACAGTTATCTCACGGATGTGTGATAAGTGATAGTGATTACTATGTAATTTTTGTTATCGTTCGCATTGTCAGCAGTCGAAAATGGCAGATCTAAATATAAAGAATGATTCACGAGTTTGATTTTTCAACTCATCCACGTGTAAGTGAACGAAGATTCATTTAGTATCTACTGGCTGAAGTGAATGATACTAGAAACTCTGTCAATTATTCTTTATGAGTACATAATATTCTGGTGGAGTAGAAGATAAGCCGATACCAGGTTGAATCATCGAACATTTCGCAAGGAAGACTTGATGATTATTGAAGCTGATCTCTTCTACCTCATCACAAATAGAAAATAATTATATACAAAAATATGATTGAGTACGAGGAGAATCTCTTAATAGGTAACAAAGCAATAGATGCGTACAGTCTGGCTTGTTCCTAGATGACTTAAATGTCTCATTCTTATCAACTTATTTTTCCTTATTTTGACGAAGTTCCATACCCTAAGGAAAAGCAATAGACTGGTTAGCTCTGTAATCCACAACTTTCTCAAGCTATTGCTTCATCAGTCTTTGTCTTCCAAAAAATAGTTATATTTCCTGATTGCTAATCTCATAATATATACCAATGATGATCGATATATGTGTCATATGAAGACATTTCATTGTTTATTCAGCTGTGGAACACTAAGAAATGTTTCGTTTTTACTTAATTAGTTCTAGCAAGACTCAGGTTTTTTAGAATTATTTTCTTTTATTCAATTATACGTTTGAGCAGTTCTATGAGGTGGAGATTATAGAACATCAGATGTAGGTAGCCTATATGAAATAATTCTGGCCATGAAACCAATGAATAAACTCAGTTTAATCCTACCAATCGAGTAGTCAAATATGACCAACAAAGTTAGTGATTCAGCGGAGGTTTTGATACCAAATAGTTCTGACGATTGTTGCATGCAAGATTGCATTTCGCGATATTTAAAACTGAAGATTCTCCTCGTACAATGTTGAGCAAATTAGCAAATCTTACTGTGATTGAGTACCTTGGAAGTAGTCATGGAAGAGCGAAGGTCACACCGAACAGGTCAAGGTGTGACCTCAGGTCTCGCTCCTTCTGACTCCTTAATCTCTAGTCACACTTAGCAGAGTGACCCCGACTGATGTACCTACTCCCTCCGCTCTTATTAACCTATTTGCTCTAGTGGACACTCTGCATTTTGTTTACTTCCCCTACCCTGAGTACAAGTCAATAGATCTATTCACAGTGATACTTCGAACACGATCAGTTTTCTTTTAGGTTTGTTTCATTTAGGATCACTAAGCTCGGTGGAATTGAGTTGTTTTTGTTACTGGCTAACAGGCCTCAAAAGAATGAACACAATTTCAACAACTGGAAAATACTAATATTTTTTCAATATTCGGTTCATTTGAATCGATTTTGTCTATCTTTTTTGCCTTTTGCTCTTTGTTTTCTCAAATATAGTGGTAGAAAAATGTGTGATAATAGAAATTTAGTTCGCCGTTTTTTATTATGATTTTTTTTCTCGATTTATTTTATTGAAGTTGAAATGATCTGTTCACTTGGAATGGTATATATTTGAATCCAAGTAATATTATTGATTATTGTAAATAGACAAAATATAATTATTTGTTAATTATGCATAAACTTATAGAATCGGGTGATATTTAACCAGTGCCATGATATTGTTGATTCAATTGTTAGACGTGAAAAACGTCACGTAATAGTTATTTGTTTACCTAAAGTAGGCTTAACCAGAAGCAATTGTATAAGCTTCGATTCTTGAAAATAAATCAGAGGGTTTACTGTTTCTTAATTGTTGTAGTTTTTTCTCAATCGCCTTATCCTTTTTATCTGTATACATCAGGTTGTTTTCAAAATCGATAAACAAAGAACTCTCGTGAGCTTATTCCACGGGCAAAAATAAGAAAAAAAATGCATATCAACAGTGGTCCAGTATGACAAAGGCAGTTCAATGAAAATGGAATTCATTTGATATCTCCTACCGTTGAATGGATGAAAACACATATCGTTCTTGATTTGGACAAATTTGGAACTGAGACGTTTAAAACAAATATAAAACTCTTCCATGGAGAAACAGCTTAGACTTGGACGTTAAATGTATAGTTTTTTCTTCAACATTACTAATGTTTGTCGGGTTTCACAGATAACAGAAATATCAACATTCATGATCAGAAGCCTTCACCAGTGAACTGAATAATTGTTTCGGTCATATGCAATACCTCATTTCTTCATTATCCTACGAAATTGGTGTCCTTTACCATAAATCATTACATAAACATGCAACGCAAATCAGTCCATTGGAAAGTGTTAATACGCGAATTTAAGCAATCCATTTTTATTTGTTACCATATTTGGTCCTATTCAACCCTCACATTCTGTAATAACTCTAAATTGTCGAGGTGAGTTCAAAATGATAATTTATATAGTACTTGAATAATATATGAAGAAACTTCACTATGTGAAGAAGTACCTAATCCTCTAAAATTGCAATGATGCTATGCATCGTTGAATTAGCAGTAGATAATAATAAAATCCTTTTTATTGATAAGTGGGTAAAATAAGAAACATGGTACATGTTCATAAGAAAAATATGTATATGCATATCTCACTACAGCACTTATTAAAAGGCAGGATTCAATCTCTGTCTATGCAAAATACATAAACAGATCTTGTTCTTCCTTCCAACTATCATCAGACAAAAATAAAAAAAGAGGAAAAAAGAAAAAATAAGCAGATCAAACGAGAAAAGAAGCAATTAAAAATAATTGTGAATGTACAGCAGCCTAAATTCAATATTTAGCAGAATGGTTTCAAACCATTTGGAATTTTATTGAGCTGGATGTCATTTTTATTATAGTATTCGGTATTCTGTTGTATAGCTGTGGTACGAAATAAAAAAAAATGATCCTCTAAATAGTGATTCCACGTTATGTATTCTGAATCTGAAGTTGAGGTTGTGCACATAAGTCCTGATCTAACTTTTCTATACAGGGTGTAATTCAAAAATTCAAATGGCTGACAATATAGGATATGGTTTCTTAGCTCAGTTTATATGATCATATGCCCTAAACCTCTTAACTTTCAAGCTATATGGTGTTAAAATGGTATTGTCTCTTCATTGATTAAAGAAACTTTCTCAATATGAAAAACTGTCATGTTTATGGAATACTTGTCGAAATAAGACCGCAGCGTAATCGATCAAATTCCATTTTTTCAAATACAAAATAGGGCACTAGCCTATCAGTTCAAAATAATTTCGTTATGCCACAAATGCATGAAAATCGTTTTTATTTGTTCACGCGAAAACGGTTTGTCGGACGGAAAAAATGCAGGTTAAATTGTTGTAAAATAAATGAGGATTTCAAAAAATTTATTTTTTGAAAAAATCAAGGGCGTACAATATATTTTCTTTAAATTTCCAGGGTACATGCAATACGGACGCCACAGGTAAGAATATTAAAAAGTCTCCTGCATCAAAAAACGCCTATTAGTGCTTAGTAGCTGCATGTCGAATTTCATGGAAATCTTTAGAACAGTATTGAAGTTATGGTGAGAAAACAAATTTTTTCTTAAATTTCCACACCCTATAGCTCAAAAGTTAAGAGGTTCAGGGCATATGTTCATTTAAACTTGTCTTCTTAAATGATCTAAGGAACCATATTATCCTTCATTTTCAACCATCAATTAAATTACACCCTGTATAGGTAGTTCGGTTTTTCCAACATCAATATGATGATGATATAGTCAATTCAAGGTGATGACTGAATTGACCAATTATATCTTCCTTTGCATATTTCTTTCCCTGTTATTTCAATACACATACTAGCCCTTTGCACATACAAAAACTGTATTTACAACTGATTTAGCACTGTTTTTCAGTAATTGGGCTCAATAGGTAGTAAGCATTCCTGAAAATGACTCACTTACTTTTGTTGGTATCTCTTTCTACATTAGTATCAGGTATGTATTTTTTTCAAACTAGAAAAATTCATTCATCAAAATCCAAAGGAAAATTAGCCCATCAATTTTTATGCTCAGGGGTCACTTATCCAGAAAATACGTTTTATTGTGATATCAACCCTGATCACCATCAACTTTTGAACCTTCATTGACACTACCATACTTATGATATCTCATTTTGAAGAAAATTCAATCATGAATACATTGCTGTAGTGTAGTGGAGAATCTATATATATTAATTTTTATGGAAGCTATAAGGAAGAATGATAACCGTCGAATTTGAATAACCTTGTATATTCCACTTTTTTCAGGTGACACGTCAGTAGAATCGTCACCTTTTTGGCATTTACCCAGACTGTTTGGTTTGAAAAGTGAGTTTTCAAGTCATTTGAATTTTATAAAATATAAAAACGAACATAGGCGTTATTATAGGGACGGGGGTCTAAAAACAAACTAATTTCATATGACACAACATCATCATGAAGAATAATGCATCAATCAATATTTGAAAATATGTATATAATCTTATTCTTGGAAAGTAGATATTCTAACTCAGGAGTTATACAGGGTGGCCCACATTTCGTTTTCGCACTAAATGAAGAAAACATTGTATCGAAAATCTGATATTACCAGATTGAATTAAATACGAAATGGATAAATTATGTACCTGTAGTATTTTTCTATTTCCCGAAATGAAAGGGCTAGCGCCAAAAATAGCGAATTGAAAGTTTTGTTTTTTCTGATTTATCTAGGAAACGGCTCATGATATCTTCGATTTTTCACATGATCCTTATATCCCCCGAAATGTGGAACTTTTGTTCCATTAAAGCTAACTATCTATCTCTAACCATATCAGAGATAGCAATAAGCAAGGAAATGTGGGCCACCCATATGAATTTAAAAATCAGTTTTCTAGAATGTAAAAATTCGGCACTTCCATTTGCTAACTAAGTACTATACCAGTGGAAACAGACTGAGTGACAACATAGGATCAGTATTATTTGTTGAATTATATTGTTTTATTGAAAAAAGTGAGTAATAATTATCCCTTGCTTCATTAAATTATTCCATCAAAATTTTTCCATTAATGAAATACTTTTTACATGCACGATCGGGTCATTTTCACCACAAAATGAGAGATGAGATGAAGTTGTTATTAGTCCAGAGAAAAGAACTTTTTTTCAATCAAGTCAAAGATTTCCAATCTGAAAACATTTGACCTTGAACCCGAAAGAAGCTTTGCCTGCGGCTCATTTTGTGCCATAAAATGAATATTTGTCCAGGGTCCTTGCCCCCTCCTGGTAACAGCAAAAAAGACACTAAGACGATAAGGAATCTACAATTTCTACAAAACTGAATGATTCATTGAGCAAATGTTTGTTCATTCTGTTGAAGTTAGAAGATGGCCGGAAGGAATAACAACATCTACAATAAGAAGCAAAAGATTAATTGAACCTAATGGCTGTGCATGTAACAGATTGAAATGTGAATGCTGTTCAAGGATAAATTTCAATTCTTCACATGAAGGTATGCTGTGTGATTCCTGTGATTTCTTGATTCTGCTGAAATATTAACTATCATTGATTTTTTCATTCAAGTGAATTGTTAGGCATCATTAATGTATTTGTTTTCTATGTTCATCCACCAAAAGTTTGATATGAAAGGAGCAGAAAACAAATCAATTCACCGTGATTGAAACTGATAAATGGTCATGATTAATTTGTTTCAGTTTGTTTAAAGATCACCCTAATACCCAATGAATTAACATTGAGAACAGGATTGTTCAGAGATAATGGTGCTATCTATGAAGGAACAATAGGTACTTACCTACTCATTAATTGAATTCTAACAAATAACTCACTAGTCAAACATTTGATAATTATTGCAGGTCCAAGTACAGCCCCAATATGTGCCGTAAATTTACCTGGAGTTTGCCTTGTGGTGAACCATGTAAACATCAAGCAGCTACAAGTTTGTACCAAGTTGAATTATGTCCTTTTCACCCTTGTAAAATTCCCATGTACAAGTATTCAAGATGGCAAATTATCTCTTATGTCAAATATGTACAAATAATAAAGATTTATTCCTAATGAATAGAAAAAAATTTTTTATTTGGTTATTGACATGCCATGAAACTTCTAGGAAGTGAAGAATGTGGAATCTTTATAGTTTGCAGTTGCTCATTTGGGTCTGATCAGCTATATGCATATCATATATTCAATATAAATATACCAGGGTGTTGCACCACATAAGAAGTTGAATGAGAATATTTCATGCTAATTGAGTTATAAATAAGAATTTAAATTGAGTGGATAAAAGATCTTTGTTATTCAAAATCATTGAATATAGTTCTATATCTAGCATCATAGAAAGAAGTTCCATACACATCAAAGGTGACCTCCAGATTTATGAGATGTCCCACCCTATATTATCAAAAATTATCACTCACATTCAAATAGGAACAATGTGATTGAAATTATCTATCAGGAACCAATCTCTTCAGAGATTTTTCTTCTGACCTCCTCAATTGATATGTTCCCTACAATTTTCAGTTTCTTGGACCTGGACTTGAACCCCTGTAAAGTTTGGGCATCAATATGCCTCTTTCTATTTTGTTCATTATTGAAACTTACTTTTTCAAAGACTACATCATTTTTATGAAGTCTAAGCACATTCGACACATATTTCACTAATTCTGCATTAGCCTCTCCATCACTAGGAGGAGCATTTATTTGGATGCCAACCCCATCTTCAGTAATTCCTAAAATTGTAGATAGTCCAGTAGTAGATATTATGGTCCAGACCATGAAGAAAATAGACTATAATCAGAGAGAAAGAAGAAAGGAAATACCTGTAATTGCATTTTGTTTTGCTCCAGGTTTTGCAAGAACCTGTATTATAATATTGTTATGTTTGTTTAGTGAGATCGGATCATTTTCTTCCTACAATAAGAAAAAAAATTCTATAATTTGAAATAAAATACAAGTTGAAACTTGCAACCTTACTGATGTTTGTTTCTTTGGAACGTTTATTCATCTGAGGCATTCTATGACAATATCTGCTGCTATGAATCTCCGGGAATGCAAATGCATCGTTGATGTGAAGTTATCCACGATTTTCTAGCCACGCTTTATGACGTGTGGACTGTCGAAATTGGGATAGAGGAGATTTCGCGTGCAACGTTGCCAAACTTCCCAGCCACGCTTTTCCCAACCATACTTATTTTAATGTATGTTTCAGCAGTAGTTTGCCTGTTAATCATTTTCCTGATAGCCTAGGAAGTGTAACAACCATTCTTAGAACAGAGAAAAATCGATCACTTCAGTTATAGGTCTTTATTTTTCAACATTCATTTTCAAATAACGGTTACTAATTGGTGTGCACTCATACCTATTTCACTATAATTTCAAGAATTACTCATTTCCCAATAACTTCGTTAATAATGGATGTGCGTTTATCAATTTTTCGCTAAAATCTCAAGAATAACTACATATATGATTTTAGGAACTGACATGAATTTGCAGTGCCGTAGGAGAATTAATAAAAAATATAATCTGTCATTGTTGATGATTTTTTCTGAATAACTTCGTTAATAATGGATGTGCGTTCATGAATTTTCCGTCAGAATCTCTAGAATAACTCTATATACGTATTTAGAAACTGAAATGAATTTGCAGTGCCCTAGGAGAATTAATAAAAAATATAATCTGTCATTGTTGATGATTTATTCTGAATAAATTCTTTAATAATAAATGTGCGTTCATGAATTTTTCGCCAAAATCTCTAGAATAACTCTATATACGTATTTAGGAACTGACATGAATTTGCAGTGCCGTAGGAGAATTAATAAAAAATATAATCTGTCATTGTTGATGATTTTTTCTGAATAACTTCGTTAATAATGGATGTGCGTTCATGAATTTTCCGTCAGAATCTCTAGAATAACTCTATATACGTATTTAGAAACTGAAATGAATTTGCAGTGCCGTAGGAGAATTAATAAAAAATATAATCTGTCATTGTTGATGATTTATTCTGAATAACTTCTTTAATAATGAATGTGCGTTCATGAATTTTCCGTCAGAATCTCTAGAATAACTCTATATACGTATTTAGAAACTGAAATGAATTTGCAGTGCCGTAGGAGAATTAATAAAAAATATAATCTGTCATTGTTGATGATTTATTCTGAATAACTTCTTTAATAATGAATGTGCGTTCATGAATTTTTCGCCAAAATATCTAGAATAACTCTATATACGTATTTAGGAACTGACATGAATTTGCAGTGCCGTAGGAGAATTAATAAAAAATATAATCTGTCATTGTTGATGATTTTTTCTGAATAACTTCGTTAATAATGGATGTGCGTTCATGAATTTTCCGTCAGAATCTCTAGAATAACTCTATATACGTATTTAGAAACTGAAATGAATTTGCAGTGCCGTAGGAGAATTAATAAAAAATATAATCTGTCATTGTTGATGATTTATTCTGAATAACTTCTTTAATAATGAATGTGCGTTCATGAATTTTTCGCCAAAATCTCTAGAATAACTCTATATACGTATTTAGAAACTGAAATGGATTTGCAGTGCCGTAGGAGAATTAATAAAAAATATAATCTGTCATTGTTGATGATTTTTTCTGAATAACTTCGTTAATAATGGATGTGCGTTCATGAATTTTCCGTCAGAATCTCTAGAATAACTCTATATACGTATTTAGAAACTGAAATGAATTTGCAGTGCCGTAGGAGAATTAATAAAAAATATAATCTGTCATTGTTGATGATTTATTCTGAATAACTTCTTTAATAATGGATGTGCGTTCATGAATTTTCCGTCAGAATCTCTAGAATAACTCTATATACGTATTTAGAAACTGAAATGAATTTGCAGTGCCGTAGGAGAATTAATAAAAAATATAATCTGTCATTGTTGATGATTTATTCTGAATAACTTCTTCAATAATGAATGTGCGTTCATGAATTTTTCGCTAAAATCTCTAGAATAACTCTATATACGTATTTAGGAACTGACATGAATTTGCAGTGCCGTAGGAGAATTAATAAAAAATATAATCTGTCATTGTTGATGATTTTTTCTGAATAACTTCGTTAATAATGGATGTGCGTTCATGAATTTTCCGTCAGAATCTCTAGAATAACTCTATATACGTATTTAGAAACTGAAATGAATTTGCAGTGCCGTAGGAGAATTAATAAAAAATATAATCTGTCATTGTTGATGATTTATTCTGAATAACTTCTTTAATAATGAATGTGCGTTCATGAATTTTTCGCCAAAATCTCTAGAATAACTCTATATACGTATTTAGAAACTGACATGAATTTGCAGTGCCGTAGGAGAATTAATAAAAAATATAATCTGTCATTGTTGATGATTTTTTCTGAATAACTTCGTTAATAATGGATGTGCGTTCATGAATTTTTCGCCAAAATCTCTAGAATAACTCTATATACGTATTTAGGAACTGACATGAATTTGCAGTGCCGTAGGAGAATTTATAGTAAATATAATCTGTCATTTTTGATGATTTTTTCTGAATAACTTCGTTAATAATGGATGTGCGTTCATGAATTTTCCGTCAGAATCTCTAGAATAACTCTTTATACGTATTTAGAAACTGAAATGAATTTGCAGTGCCGTAGGAGAATTAATAAAAAATATAATCTGTCATTGTTGATGATTTATTCTGAATAACTTCTTTAATAATGAATGTGCGTTCATGAATTTTTCGCCAAAATCTCTAGAATAACTCTATATACGTATTTAGAAACTAAAATGAATTTGCAGTGCCGTAGGAGAATTAATAAAAAATATAATCTGTCATTGTTGATGATTTTTTCTGAATAACTTCTTTAATAATGAATGTGCGTTCATGAATTTTTCGCTAAAATCTCTAGAATAACTCTATATACGTATTTAGGAACTGACATGAATTTGCAGTGCCGTAGGAGAATTAATAAAAAATATAATCTGTCATTGTTGATGATTTTTTCTGAATAACTTCGTTAATAATGGATGTGCGTTCATGAATTTTCCGTCAGAATCTCTAGAATAACTCTATATACGTATTTAGAAACTGAAATGAATTTGCAGTGCCGTAGGAGAATTAATAAAAAATATAATCTGTCATTGTTGATGATTTATTCTGAATAACTTCTTTAATAATGAATGTGCGTTCATGAATTTTTCGCCAAAATCTCTAGAATAACTCTATATACGTATTTAGAAACTGAAATGGATTTGCAGTGCCGTAGGAGAATTAATAAAAAATATAATCTGTCATTGTTGATGATTTTTTCTGAATAACTTCGTTAATAATGGATGTGCGTTCATGAATTTTCCGTCAGAATCTCTAGAATAATTCTATATATGTATTCAGAAACTGAAATGAATTTGCAGTGCCGTAGGAGAATTAATAAAAAATATAATCTGTCATTGTTGATGATTTTTTCTGAATAACTTCGTTAATAATGGATGTGCGTTCATGAATTTTCCGTCAGAATCTCTAGAATAACTCTATATACGTATTTAGAAACTGAAATGAATTTGCAGTGCCGTAGGAGAATTAATAAAAAATATAATCTGTCATTGTTGATGATTTATTCTGAATAACTTCTTTAATAATGAATGTGCGTTCATGAATTTTTCGCCAAAATCTCTAGAATAACTCTATATACGTATTTAGGAACTGAAATGAATTTGCAGTGCCGTAGGAGAATTAATAAAAAATATAATCTGTCATTGTTGATGATTTATTCTGAATAACTTCTTTTATAATGAATGTGCGTTCATGAATTTTTCGCCAAAATCTCTAGAATAACTCTATATACGTATTTAGAAACTGAAATGAATTTGCAGTGCCGTAGGAGAATTAATAAAAAATATAATCTGTCATTGTTACAGATTATATTTTTTATTAATTCTCCTACGGCACTGCAAATTCATTTCAGTTTCTAAATACGTATATAGAGTTATTCTAGAGATTCTGACGGAAAATTCATGAACGCACATCCATTATTAACGAAGTTATTCAGAAAAAATCATCAACAATGACAGATTATATTTTTTATTAATTCTCCTACGGCACTGCAAATTCATGTCAGTTCCTAAATACGTATATAGAGTTATTCTAGAGATTTTGGCGAAAAATTCATGAACGCAAATTCATTATTAAAGAAGTTATTCAGAATAAATCATCAACAATGACAGATTATATTTTTTATTAATTCTCCTACGGCACTGCAAATTCATTTCAGTTTCTAAATACGTATATAGAGTTATTCTAGAGATTCTGACGGAAAATTCATGAACGCACATCCATTATTAACGAAGTTATTCAGAAAAAATCATCAACAATGACAGATTATATTTTTTATTAATTCTCCTACGGCACTGCAAATTCATGTCAGTTCCTAAAATCATATATGTAGTTATTCTTGAGATTTTAGCGAAAAATTCATAAACGCACATCCATTATTAACGAAGTTATTGGGAAATGAGTAATTCTTGAAATTATAGTGAAATAGGTATGAGTGCACACCAATTAGTAACCGTTATTTGAAAATGAATGTTGAAAAATAAAGACCTATAACTGAAGTGATCGATTTTTCTCTGTTCTAAGAATGGTTGTTACACTTCCTAGGCTATCAGGAAAATGATTAACAGGCAAACTACTGCTGAAACATACATTAAAATAAGTATGGTTGGGAAAAGCGTGGCTGGGAAGTTTGGCAACGTTGCACGCGAAATCTCCTCTATCCCAATTTCGACAGTCCACACGTCATAAAGCGTGGCTAGAAAATCGTGGATAACTTCACATCAACAAATGCATCAACTGATTTGAATTGTCTCCACATAAAAAATTTAATTACATTGTCAGTTCAATTTCATAATAAGGTAGACAGACAGACTCGAAAATTGAAATGAAAGTAGAAATTACTATAACACTAGAAAGGAAGATAACAAATAATAACAAGCACAGATAACAAGATAATCAAAAGTTTACTGCAAAGTTTGATCTCATGATCTCGATCTAATCTAACCCAACTAACGGTTGTCAGAAGGAGGAAGGAACCTTTGAAGCAACAAAGAACACAGAACAATCAGAACATAGAAATAACATGAATCATAAGCCCCTTTTCCTCGAACCACACAAACCAATGAACTCAATAAACAACTAAGCTGGGTCAACAATAAGTTAACCAGTAAATTTTGCTTGAAGTGATGAGTGTATTCCAAACTATGACGTAATAGTTAACCAACCACAAAAACCAGCTCACTGAGGTAGTTCACAGAGGAGGTAAAGTCTAAATGCAAAGTCAGTTGAAAATCATGAAATAAAACGGTACAATAATACTATTTTAATAACATAAAATAAATAACAAGTATCTAGTTGATAAGAATTGAATAATTTTGGAATTCAACAAATTCAATCTAACACAGGAAAAAGTACCTAAAGTACACCATAATAAATATAACAATACTATAAAATTTGGAGATAAATATTATTGAAACCTGATTCTTATCTGTTACCAACCTTTGTCTCCTAAAATTGACATCTATAACTTAATATACAAATTTTAAAACTCAGCAGTCTTCAATCTTCATATCTTACAAAATATTCATCATAATCAAAATCATACATACATCTTAAATATTATATAGAAGTAAAATCAATCACAATGAAAACTATAAAAAAGATACATATACTTCATCAATAATTTTGGCAGTAGCTTCCATACCAAATTATACTTATGTATTTTGAATGTTATTGTTTCAATAACTTGATACTATATTCACTACACCAAAGTTTATTCAGGGTGTTTCATAAAAAGGTGACCCCCTTGCTAGGGTAGGTAGAACATTGGGTTTGCTGGTAAAACGAATGTCATAACGACATTCCTTATCAAGATACAAGGTGTTGAAAATAAGATTTTTCACGATTATGTTGAAACTACTGGCAACATTGTGCTGAAATTTGGTATGGATGTGTTATGGAAGCCGACTTGTTTTTATATCTTACTCTCATAGAGGGCACTAGTTACACGGTTCATACCAATAGTAGGGAGGAGTTTATTTTATAGTTAGATCTTTCAATCCAAATTCAATGTAAGGCAGAACATCATTGAATTTTACACCAGAATGGAACACTAAGTACAACTCCACACTATGTACCATTTCCGGAAAACTTTGATTCATAAATGATGGAGTGATAACATGTTGCTGGTATTAAGCTATATATAGGAGAAAGTATCATGAAAATCTTTCACCTATTTATTGAAAATCGAAATAATTACCTATTTATACACCAAAGTGTACATTATTTTTTTCACCACTAGCAATATCACAGTTCTGTGAAACTGAAATATGGACTTGTCACTGTGAAAGCACTTCTTTTCAATTCTAACTATGACCATTACAGTAAATGACACGTCCACGTCATCACTGATAAATACCTACTAGATTTGAGTTCTATTTCTGCGAATCTCACATCAGAACAGTGGATTCCAGTTCATTATAAGAGGTGCCTATGTCTTTATTGACTATATTAGTTCATAAAATGGAGAAAACTACCTTGGTATTAAAAATTCACTTTATGACTTGAGAAGGAGTGAATAATTGTTGGTTCTATAGCAAGGAGTGAAAAAAACATTAATGTATTTTTAATGCTGAACTCCAGGAATCACAAGAATGACATTGAAATAAATTTGACTAAAAACATAATTTACAGTTTGGTTGTATCTCAAGGAGAAGGTCTATGCTACAGAGGTAAATTCACGTCAAGAGTTGCAAGACAAAATTGAACATTACTTGAATGACCTAACAGCTGATCCTCAGCAATCATTTAGGAAAATGCATTCTTAAAAAAAATTATAGAATTGCATATCTTTTGAACATTTATACTCTAACTGATTCAATATTTTTTGTTTTATATTTAATTCAATGTTCTACTTGTTATTCTTTGTTAAATCTATAACTTCGGCACAAGAATAATGTTTTTGTATTTGAATAAATATCAATTACCTGATCTCAATAATAGGTACCTACTTATTTTATACCAGCATGACTCCATTATTTTCAGATCAAAAATTTCGAGAACAGTGCATAGTATTGAGTTTTATCAAGACTACATTTTTGGTGTCAAATTGAATGATGTTCAAGTTCATGAAGTTCACATGAAATTTGGTCTGAAAAATCTAACCTCAAAAGGTATGTATGAAATTACTTGGTATGAACGTCATAACTGGCACCCTCTATGAGAGTCAGATACCAAAACTAATTTATGGGATGGGTCAGCTTTCAGAACATATCCATACAACATTTCATAACAAAGTTGCCAGTTATTTAGACACAATCATACAAAATGTGTAAAATGTTTGTTCAAAACCTTGTAACTTGAAAACGGATGCCATTATGAACATGTTTTACCTAGCAAACCCAACTTATTTTGCAGTGTTCTACCTACCCTAGCAAGGAGGTAACCATTATTTTAAACACCCTGTATAAATTGAACACTAATAACATTGACATGATATAATCATTTTGAACTCCCTAAAGATTGACTTTTGGATGGTCAAGTCAAAAATATTGAATATTATAATACCTTTTATAGCTCCTAAGTTACTCACTGATAACCTAGATATTCTATAAAAAAACCTGAATGGATCATTCCTTGGTAACTGAAGTACAAACATAATGACTGTGTATCAAGCCTAGGTTGATGTGACACCTTTGCGAGCAACTAGAAGATTCAATACTGGGTGTTTCTTTATATAACTCACAGCTTTTTTATGAGTCACCATTGTAAAGTCATATCCATTACATTGAAGTATTTTATCATGTACCCGAAGTCCTGCTTTTGAAGCTGGACTATTATCATGAACCTCTGTAACATATATACCCTGCAAGAAAAACGTTTCATGAGAAAATCTCTTATCCTGTGTGGAATGTGAGCAGTTATACATTATCTGTGTAGCCCTGAGGACTTTTATGAAAATCTTGATCAATACCACCACCAATCTTGAAGCCACATCTCATTGTGTCTCCATCAACGTCCTTGTGGAGGGTTATCGGAATCTGGAAGGCAGTTTGTTATGCAAATGAGTCATGTCATGATCACATATTTTTTAACTTGTATAATATATGAATGGATTGATAGTTACGCTCAAACATTCCATTGCTGTTCCCGCCTGATGTTGAAATGCCATTTTTGCACACATTTTGACGAAATTGTTATTCTGGTCCCGTTTCACCAAAAGCAAAATATTTTCCAGTGAATTATCAAATTTCTCGTCTCAAGTCCCAGGCACTCCCAGGTACAAGGTACTATCCTAACCACAAACCTCTGTAAGCTCTCTACTGTGCCACAAATAACAAATAATTTATGCACACGAGTACAAGTACAAACCATGTACAAACACAAAATCAGTAAAATCACAAAGTACAAAACACCTTGCAAAGAGCAGAGAACAAGAATGATTTAAGCACAGAGCTAAGCACAGAACCATAGATCACAGTACTCTTACTATTTGACGTTGACACAACAGACCATAGCGACAAGGGGCAGCATAAACATTTTGTTGACGTTTCATCAAAGGGGTTCATGGCAATGATATGGCGCATCGCCTATACGACATCTCAACAAAAATGGGACCAAATAGAGAGGTACTTCTTGAATCTATATGGACGGAAAGTGAAGGATGGAAAATTTGAAATTAGTAGCCATATTGTCATATATTTACTTTTTCTATATATGGCGCATCACCTATACGATATCTCAACAAAAATGGGACCAAAATGAGAGGTACTTTTTGAATCTATAAGGACGGAAAGTGAAGGATGGAAACAGCCATATTGGTTTAACAAGTTTCGTATTATTTTTTCCCTACGTCGGCATCAACACCTATTGGTCGATTTCGTTACCAAATAGAGACAAAACAGAAGTTGGTCCCGCTTTGAGGACAGTAGATATATGATATTAGTCATTAGTCTATACTACAGTGACTTTATATTCTATTAATCTATTAATATAGTCACTCTACCGTAAATCATGCTATCTTTGTTGCAGCTGCCCCTGCCACACTTTGTGCTATTCGAGAAAACGGCCGTCTCCCTTCCAGTTGTATTGAGTTCATTGGTATGGACAGATCAAAGCTCCTTTCTCTTTTATTTATTTATGATTTTAGTTTCGTGTATTGGCGTCCTTGGCATGTTACAAAATTTCAATTTCATACTTTATCTTAATACGACATTATTCATTCTGTTTTGGAAGGACGGTAAAATGTGCTGCGTTAAGCTTGGTTTTCATGACAACGTTTTGCGTCATGCGTCTTGCGTTGCCTCGTTATGATTGGCTATTTTGACTGACGCATTATTTCGTAGGAATAAAGTTCAAAATATTTAACTTCTTTGCGTCGAACGCGAGAAAGCGAGAAATGTGGGATAGAGAACCTCTACTCTTGTAGGTTATGTTTTAGGTTTTCCCAATCACCCAAAACAGGAAGAGTACAGATTTAAGAAAACTTGAATTCAATGAAATTCATACTATTCACAGTGTACTTACTTAGGTTTTCAATGGTTTATTGAGATATGGAGAAGTAAGTGACTATACTATAGAATTCCATTGTACCTATATTAAAATCAGGGAATATTAGTCAACCAAAATACTATAAGTAGATTTTTTTTTAAACAAAAACTAATGTATACTGTTTTTATAGTTTCATATGTGAGGAATGCAGGGAGCCCTCAACAGAGGTAGGTAGGTGAAGAAGTAGCCTCAAAAGAAGAGTTATTGATTCAACTTGCGAATAAAATTAATAATTTTCTCCTTCGCCAATTTTGTTCATCCATTTCATATATGAAAAATGAATATTTTAACACTGCAGGTGTCAAATTATTACTACTTTTGGCAATAATTATTGAAAACCTATAATAAATTTTAAATATTTGACGCATGTATGAAAATTATAACAAATTTCATCGAATTTGCGTCATTTGAAATAGCCAATCAGAACGAGGCAACGCAAGAAGCACGACGCAAAACGTTGTCATGAAAACAAAGCTTTAGGCTGTATCAATCAGTTGGATGGCAAATTTGAATTTGTCAGCTTTCCATAAAATGCAAATGAACTTAGAACATGGAAAGTGAAGTGACCGAATGGGAAAAATTGGTAAATACATCAGCAGAATACTGAAACTAATACGAAATCACATATTATAATTTCTCATTGTGCCTATAATTATCCACTCCACGAGTTTTTGAATGCATATCAGTAGAAACAGTTTTGATTAAAACGGAGGGTCAAAAGAAGAGGCATATATGCCCTACCATTTGAAGAACAAACAACCTACATTCAGGAAATATTGGGCGTTCGTGAAAAACTGCAAAAATGATTCCCAACATGAATATATACAGCACACATGACATATGAGCACATTAGTTTGAATACCTACATGAAATATGTCACCATAAGGCTTAGTCTGAAATTCATTCATTGATAGGTACTGCCTAAGAACAGTCCCATTTGGTAAAACGTATTAAACTTTCAGAAAAATTTGCTCGCTGCCTCACAAGATTATGATGGAGTTGAAAAATCAAAAACTCAAGAATTATCATTATCATTTGAATATAATATGTAAAGTTGAATGAGAAATTATATGTGGAAATTAAGTATGATACGCCAATGTCCTCAACATAACCTAAAAAACAACGAATGTCAGACATCTAGTGTTTATCCCCAGAAATGAATAAAGATGGAACTATATAACTGTTTCACAAACACTTAAGAGTGAGAGGAGACGAGGATGTGTCCGTATCCTGTTAAGATGACAAATACGTCAATTTACATCAAGGGACCCTATTTCTGTAGTTCTTCCCAGTTGTGGAACTGTCAAAATTATTTACTTGTGTAGACTGATGAATCTATTAATCATTATTTTCTGAGTATTTCATACTCCAGGATTTTTCGGCGCATTGTATACTCTTTTGCGGACATTGTGAGTTGACGGCACAGGCTATCAAGGTGCACATAACCCTATTTCAATTTATTATAGTGTGTGGTTGAATGGCCAAATGATCTCTTACTGTTGAGTGGTGAGAAGCTATTGCACCTTATCATTTTTAGGGGACATATCTTTGTGCCCAACGGGTCATTCCAAATTCAAAAATGTTATAAAAAAATGTAAAAAATCAAAGAATTTGTATACAACATTTTTAGGTTTTTAGTATTGAAGCTATCAATTCGTGAACGAGAGGAATAGATAGACAACTACGGTTCGTTCATAAATTATCAAAAAGTATTATTATTATTATCTATCTAATGAATTGGATGTTTTATAAGGTGTGTATGTGCAATGATGAAATTGATCTCACGTAATGCAACATAATTTGTCCTGTATCTACTGAAAGAAAAAAATATCCTAATGGATGAAAGAATATAGTAGAATTGGGAATTCATTTCTAGAAATAACATAACTTTCCAGGATTATAATAAAGGAAATCATCTGTGTGATCATCAGTTTGATCACCCTGTTTTGATGTGTGACTGAGTCTAATGCTCCAATTTCTTATTGGGAATATAACAGTGGAAGCCTTCTTGTGAAATGTTTCAAAAAGGAAACACACTATATCCTCACAAAACATTGTAATCAACCGATGAAATTGAAAAACAATTCAGGTTAATTTCGCATTATTTTCAGAAAACCTTTGATGAATTCCAAATTTGCATAAATGAAAAGAAATCATATCATAATGATAACGGACTTTAATAATGACACTGTATATTGAATTCGTTTGTAAACCCCTGTTATACAATATTTCAGATGTGATTAGTAAAAGATACAGTTCTTGTTCGGGAATTGTTCGGTTAGAATGATGACGTGTAACTGATAAATCATTAAGGTGGTGAATCATGCATCGGATACCGGTGACCACGCAATATTGTATCAGATTTCATCGCGTACAGTCGATCTGATTGATTTGAAAAAATAATTTATATTGTTTACACGTGGGAATCGAGATGTATGGTGTCATTGAGTGAATATAGTGCAATATTTGTGTGTGTGAGTGAGTGAGTTCTAGTGGAATTTTCCAACAATAAAAACACTGGGATGTATTGGGCGTGTTTTTCATTCCATCGAAGAAAGTGCGCACTGATAGATGCGGTTTTTTGTCGTGACGTCACCAATTGTTCTGTTGGAATGCATGCTGGAAGGATTGAACAATGGTTTATACAACACATTGATGGAAATTCGGATTTTGTTGTGTGTCAGTCATCATGTATCTTGAGAATCAGAAGAGGCTAATTCGATTTTATTGATTAACACTGACTCTTTCTTCTAAAATCTCTCAAGAATCTCAAAAATCCTCAATATTAATTGTTTTCTATCAAATCAAAACAAAAAACAACACTAAAATGTGTCAACTGTCATGTCAATCTCCTCCAAACTGCTGGATTTTCGAAAAGCGATTTAAAAGTGCGCACTTTATTACAACAGTTTGATGGATGTCCATCAACATTCCAGCGGAATTTTGCAACAGTTTGATGGTTTCTTCGATTCATGCGCATGATAAAATGTTGGAATGAAAAACGCACCCATTGTATTGTTGTTGCCCTTTTTAGAGATGGTGAGTTATTTTTTTATTATTTTTTTTTCTATTCATATACGGAGTGATTAAATTGAGATCAATAAAACAAGTTGCGGGATTATTTGCAATTTTGTGAAGAGTGTAGGACAAAGTATTTTGAAATTTCGTATTTATCAACGTGTGCCATGCAGAAGGTCTTAGATCGCATTTCAATCGTCTCGAGGGCACTGTAGTTCACGAAAATTTGTTATTCATAATCAGTTTTTGTTGTAAAAACAATACAAAATAATTTTGAAAATAATTTTTTCGTCAATTTCGTGATTAGTCAAAGATACAGTTCTTATTCGGGAATTATTCGGTTAGAATGATGACGTGTAACTGATAAATCATTAACGTGGTGAATCATGCATCGGATACCGGTGACCACGCAGTATTGTATTAGATTTCATTGCGTGCAGTCGATCTGATTGATTTGAAAAAATAACTTATATTGTTTACACGTGGAAATCAAAATGTATGGTGTCATTGAGTGCAATATTTGTGTGTGAATGGATGAGTTCTGGTGGAATTTTTCAACAATGAAAAGACTGGGATGTCTTGTATTGTTGTGGTTCTTTTTAGATATGGTGAGTGATGTTTTTATTATATTCTTTTTATTCATATACGGAATGATTATATAGAAATCAATAGAACAATAAGGTGCGAAATTATTTGTCATGCACTGCACTTGCTTCAAAATCAATACATAATTCATAATCTAATTTCCTATTGATTGAGAATATTGTATACTGGGTGTCCCATTTGAAGACATTGAACTTTTTCACGTAACTCGTGAACGCTATGATAGATTCCTGTTTAATTTTCACCAAAATACTACTACTTTGTCCATTTATCGGACTTGATAGCTCCTATGATGACCAAGTTCGCAATAGTGCCGACATGTATTTGAAAACCCTGTATAGAGCATATAACATTTCGTATAAAACGGTTAAACATGAAATTGAATAAAGTAAAATACGATTCCTATTATCAGTACTACCGAAATTTCCTAAATTAATTCTGATTCCAATTCACCATTTTTTTTATAATAATCTCATATACATGATAAACCAACTTCGTGTGATGACTTCATGAGTAACTTTTTTTATTGGAAATTCCTTTTTTTTCGG